CCCCCCTCCCCTCATGGGGGTGAGAAATTCTATTAATCTTTGTATGTCCGCCTTTCGATACTCCTATGTCTGACAAAGTGGTGAAGGGGAGGTAACTGATAGTAAAAATGCTTTCATCAATGGTTTTTGTTGTTATCAGATTAAACTGTTTTACAGGGCATGCTGGGTAGTAATGCTGTGGTTATATATATAAGATATAATAAAAAATATAATACGGTAGATGACCCATGTATGTTGTCACTAGAAACAGTATTTCTACTTTTTTTCAAGTTTTATTCTGATTGCACATTTTCACATCCTGCCTGGCAGTCACAGGTCGTTTAAAAAAGAACTATTTCAGCACACGTAAATGATGAATGTATTGCAAACAAACCTTCGAAGTGACTACACTTTTCCTGAATATGTTGTATGACACTCCCTTCGTAAACGTACAACGTTCATTAATGTCTGCATGTTCTTTTCTCCATTAGGCACAACATTTTCAACCCACAACAGCAATATTTTCATATTAAGAAAAAAATCAGACCAGGCCTCAGGGTTATTGCAAAACTTCTGGACTAAGAATAATCTTAACTTATGCACTTTTAAAATCATACATTTCCTCTGAACTATTCTGAAGTTTGATTTCCTGAAATTCATCCACTGGTTAATGGAAGGAGATAATTGATGTCTTGACATCAATTCATAAATATTTTATCCTATTGAGCAACATTGAAGGAGGATCTGAAATGGATCTGATTTTGAGAATTTAAAGTTAAGAAGTTTTCTGATTCCAGGCTTTATGCACATAAAAAGTTCAAACACAAATCTTACACAAAATTTATATCGAAGAAAAAAATATTAAATGGTTACACTACACATTATAAAACCAATACAATCTTGTAAAAATCATCATTTAGGTTTTGTAGAAAAGCTAGTCACTAAAAAGAAATATTTCATAAAGAAAAGGAAGTATACATATTTTGAGAATTTATTGTCATTCAGTTAGTAATGATCATATAATAACATTCTAAATTATAATCAAATATTAAAATGTGCATTTAAAAAACAACTGAAGGTTATCAGAAATGTTTTTACACTCTATAAATGAAGATTATTTATAATAATTATAGAATTTCTTTATATCTTAAAATAAGTATGACTTGGCCTTGTCTGTACTGTCCTGATTGACATGTTTTCACCTTATACCTCTGTCTCCACAGCTGTTACTGCTGTCGATGAAGGACATGAACGTCGCTAAGATGACGGCCGTGGATCTGCCTCTCTTCAACGGAATCATGTCCGACTTGTTCCCTGGAATAGAAACACCGACCATCGACTACAGCAAGGTAATTACAAGACAAGGTTTTGAGATTATCCTCTTACAAGACAAGATCTGTGCTTATTCTCTTACAAGACAAGGTTTTGAGATCATCCTCTTACAAGACAAGGTTTTGAGATTATCCTCTTACAAGACAAGGTTTTGAGATTATCCTCTTACAGGACAAGATTCTGAGATCATCCTCTTACAAGACAAGATCTGTGCTTATCCTCTTACAAGACAAGGTTTTGAGATTATCCTCTTACAAGACAAGGTTTTGAGATTATCCTCTTACAAGACAAGATTCTGAGATCATCCTCTTACAAGACAAGATCTGTGCTTATCCTCTTACAAGACAAGATCTGTGTTTATGCTCTTACAAGACAAGATCTGTGCTTATCCTCTTACAAGACAAGATTCTGAGATCATCCTCTTACAAGACAAGGTTTTGAGATTATCCTCTTACAAGACAAGGTTTTGAGATTATACTCTTACAAGACAAGGTTTTGAGATTATCCTCTTACAAGAAAAGGTTTTGAGATTATCCTCTTACAAGACAAGATCTGTGCTTAACCTCTTACAAGACAAGATCTGTGCTTATCCTCTTACAAGTCAAGGTTTTGAGATTATCCTCTTACAAGACAAGGTTTTGAGATTATACTCTTACAAGACAAGGTTTTGAGATTATCCTCTTACAAGAAAAGGTTTTGAGATTATCCTCTTACAAGACAAGATTCTGAGATCACCCTCTTACAAGACAAGATTCTGAGATCATCCTCTTACAAGACAAGATTCTGAGATCATCCTCTTACAAGACAAGATCTGTTCTTATCCTCTTACAAGACAAGATCTGTGTTTATGCTCTTATAAGACAAGATCTGTGCTTATCCTCTTACAAGACAAGATCTGTGTTTATGCTCTTATAAGACAAGATCTGTGCTTATCCTCTTACAAGACAAGTTATGTGTTTATGCTCTTACAAGACAAGATCTGTGCTTATCCTCTTACAAGTCAAGGTTTTGAGATTATCCTCTTACAAGACAAGGTTTTGAGATTACCCTATTACAAGACAAGGTTTTGTGATTATCCTCTTACAAGACAAGATTCTGAGATCACCCTCTTACAAGACAAGATTCTGAGATCATCCTCTTACAAGACAAGATTCTGCGATCATCCTCTTACAAGACAAGATCTGTGCTTATCCTCTTACAAGACAAGGTTTTGAAATTATCCTCTTATAAGACAAGGTTTCAAGATTATCCTCTTGAAAATTAATAGTTTTAAGTCACCATACAGCCCAATGGGCCTCTTGTTTTGTGAAGAAAAAAAAGAAAAAAATAAGAAAGATAATATTTTATGAATGAGACTTACAAACACTGCTTCCTGTGTATTTTGAAGAAAAGAAATATCTCACAAGACTTGTAGGAAATAAATAGAGATAAAAAAAAAAAAAAAAATGAAAAACACTAGATTTTGTGAAAGATTAATTTTCAGCTTAGCTTGCAATCCAAAAATAATTATCAGTATTGAAATAGCATGGTCTCAATGAAGAGTTCAAGTAGTGTCAATTTAAACCTTCAGGCAGAGTTCATGAAACAATGAACATACAAAATGATGTGATTGACATTATATAACCTATCTAATAAAAATAACTTTATCTTCATGCTCTCTAAATACACGCTATATTTGTCCTCAGATGAAGAACGCGGTCATCGCAGAACTGAAGGAAAATCAACTACAGTGTAACAACCATACCATTACCAAGATCCTTCAACTGTACGAGACAAAAACATCGCGTCACTCCGTGATGATCGTTGGGTCCACGCAGGCGGGAAAGACGGTTGCTTGGCGAATATTACAAGGGACAATGTCTCGTCTGAACAAGGAAAAGGACAGCGGCTTTCAGGTTGTCAAGGTAAAATTATACCCCTGTTTAAACTTCGACCTTGTGAAGGAATTGGTCCTATTCATCCTGACAAAACTTGTCTACTCAAACGATAAATTGTCAACTATGAGAAATACGTTGCAGCCGCCTTGTCAGTGTGGAAATTAAAGTCAAAACATTAAAAATGTCCGCACACACACCTTCCAAGTTTTGCGGTACAACGTACGTTCTCTTTGTAGGAGTACCCAATCAACCCAAAATCCCTCTCCCTCGGCGAACTGTACGGGGAGTTTGACCTCAACACCAATGAGTGGACTGATGGAGTACTGTCCAGCGTGATGAGACAGACCTGTGCTGGTAAGGACACTGACCGCTGTTTAATATTGTCCCATAAAAGTTTGTTAGAGTGTCACCATTTGTGTGACGGAATTTTGGTGTTTCAGAGGTTCTTTGTGATATATCATGGAAGGTTTTTGACGAAAATTAAAACTGATAACAACATTAAGCGAGGTAGAAATTATGAGGAACAGTGTATTGGGATTTCCTTTCTTTTAAATGGTATCATTTTACAAGTAAGTTATTTAGATGCGAACACTTTTGACATTAGGAATATATTGTCACACTCTACGTTCCAGATTTTTTTTCCTGGATATATGATACAATGAAATCTTATAGCAAAATAACATTATAATGAAAATAACCTCTTTTATTGGAGATAAAGATATTCATCATGTTGTTTTTCAGATGAACGGCCCGATGAGAAGTGGCTGGTGTTTGATGGTCCAGTGGATACACTTTGGATCGAGAGTATGAACTCTGTGATGGACGATAACAAAATTCTTACTCTAATTAACGGAGAACGTATTTCCATGCCAGAACAAGTGTCACTTCTGTTTGAAGTGGAGGACTTAGCAGTGGCCTCCCCTGCGACAGTGTCGCGCTGTGGAATGGTCTACGCCGATTACAATGACAATGGCTGGGAGCCGTTTGTAGAGTCGTGGCTGGAAAAAAAGAAGGATCAAAAGGTTTGAAAAAATTGCTGTTCAAGAAAAGGGAAGAAACCCCCCCCTATTTAATACACATGAATGATTGAAAGTGTACATTTAACCCAGGCTGTTTGATAATCATTTTTATCATAATTGCACTGAGCAAACATTGCAGACAGGGCATGGGATAGAAAAGCTACTAAATGACGTTATGACATGGAGTCATTTTTTGGAAGGAGTTTTTGAAATAATCCATCATTATTATCTAAGAATGATCAATTACTTGAGTGATCTTAATGCTTACATTCTTGTGATCATTTCAAATGTGTCATTAAGTATTGTGTACCTTATAAATGTGTCATCAGTTCTTGTGAACCTTTCAAATGTGTCATTGATTAATGTGTACCTTATAAATGTGTCATCAGTTTTTGTGAACCTTACAAATGTGTCGTTGATTATTGTGTACATTACAAATACGGCATCAGTTCTTGTGAACCTTACAAAAGCCATCAATTAACCATTGATGATAAACATTATATCTATTTCCCAGGTTGTTTAGTATGGAACTATTTTAGGAAGGAGGTGCTAGTGATAATAAAGGTAGCATACTTCCTTAATAAGCAGAGCAACTTTATGATATTTGATTAATATTTCACAGCAACTGGTGGAAGAGCTGCGTCGTCTGTTTGACAAGTACTTAGTGAAAATCCTTGAGTTCAAACGCCAGAACTGTCATGACCTGATACCCATTGCTCAACTCAACGGAGTGAGCTCCCTTTGTAAACTGTTTGATTCCCTGGGAACACAAGAAAATGGAGTAAGTTCAGTAGTTGATGTTTTGAGATATTGATTTATACAGTGTCTACTGATGAAGTATATAAACCCTGCTTTCATTTCTTTCATCACTTTACATTTGAATAATAGAACTAACATGAAAGTTATGTGAACTTTTATGCACAGGAAATCAGGATTCTATTTCAATATCTAACGACAAGAAACACAAATACTGAAACAATTATATATTAATGATTTGAAAATTGAAATATAATTTTCAAATATAAATAGTTCCTAAGCACAGTTATTGAGTTGAAAGAAATAAGTCTGATTATTTTAAACCAAGAAGTGATCAACATATTTTCTTTGAGAATATTTTGAAATAATGTTTTAGATTATTTAATAAATTAAAAAAAAAATGAACATTTTCTATAGAGAGAGAAAAATATTCCAACATGAAAAATTGCTGATACATGATGTTTCTTTTTAACTCCTTAGAATTCTTATTTTCACAACCATCAAGTTAACCTGAGTTAACTCATTCACCCCTGAAGACACATTGAACCCTTCCAATTCAAAGGTTGGAACAGTTCATTATGAAATTTTAGGGGTAAATGAGTTAAATGCGACTACTAACCTGACATGTGATTATTTCAGGTGGACCCCCATGATGCGGAGAACTTTGTGAGAATGGTGGAGCTATGGTTCCAGTTCTGTATGATCTGGTCTATCTGTTGCTCAGTAGACGAAGAGGGGCGGAAGAAGATTGATAACTACATCCGTGAGATGGAGAGCACCTTCCCCAACAAGGACACCATTTACGAGTACTGTGTTGACCCCAAGGGCAAAACTTGGGTACACTGGGAAGAGAAACTCCGAGGTGGCTTCAAGTTTGCCCCAGGGTAGGTATTAAGCTATGAAAGTGTTGAAAGGGGGTTGGAAGGGGGGTGGGGGTCAGTATTTCCCAGGTAAAGTGTGTAGATTGGGGTGGGTGGGGGTTGGGTTGGGTTGGGTTGTCAAATATTTCCCAGGGTAAGTATTGTGCTATGTAAGTGAAGAGAGTAGGGTAGGGTGGTATGGGGTTGGGTGTCAAGTATGCCCCAGGGTAAGGTTTATGCTATGAACGTGTGGAAAGTGGGTGGGTTAGGGGCTGGGAGGTTTGAGTATTTCCCAGGGTAAGTATTGTACTATGAAAGTGTGGATAGCGGGGTGGGGGTGGGGTGTCGAGTATACCCTAGGGTAAGTAGTGTGTTATAAAGTGTGGATAGCGGGGTGGGGGTGGGGTGTCGAGTATACCCTAGGGTAAGTAGTGTGTTATAAAGTGTGGATAGCGGGGTGGGGGTGGGGTGTCGAGTATACCCTAGGGTAAGTTGTGTGTTATGAATAAGTTGATGAAGGGGTCAATTGTAACCCAGGAAAGGTACTGTGTTTTGTGATGGTAGTGTTGGGTGGGGGGTTATTGTAGTGAGTTGAGATAAATTACTTTACGTTATTCCTTCTGATTGTATAAAATGTATTGTTGTGTGACAGAACGCCGTTCTACAAGTTGATTGTGCCAACGGTTGATACAGTGAGGTACCAGTACCTTGTGTCCGCACTAATCCGATCCTTCAACCCCGTCATGCTGGTCGGACCTGTGGGAACTGGCAAGACATCAGTGATCGAGAATACTCTCAGCAAAGTGGATCCAAAGGTCTACAGTCTTCTCACAGTCAACATGTCTGCCCAGGTATGTAGCGGTTTTTGTCACCCTGCCACAAAGTGGAAGCGAGACTAAGGTGTTGCTTTTCCGGTGACGGCATCAACATTAAGTTTTTGCGTTTAAGTTAGTTTCTCCGATATGTGCATTGGTAGTCAAAGCGGGGCACAGGCGAGACATATTAATCGTAATGGCTTGTTTATTTTGGACATTCTCATTACTCTTCTTAGCTTCTTTGTCAAGTCATCTTGGTCAAAAACTGTTTTGTTGGCATACATGCAAACGAAAATTCACATGTCACAATTTTTCAGAAAAATATTTCTTTATATTTTCAATAACATAGATTGAAATCAATCAATACTATAGATTGAAATAAATCAATACCATAGATTGAAATAAGTCAATACCATAGATTGAAATAAGTCAATACCATAGATTGAAATCAATCAATACCATAGATTGAAATCAATCAATATCATAGAATAAAATCAATCAATACCATAGAATAAAATCAATCAATACTATAGAATGAAATCAATCAATACCATAGAATGAAATCAATCAATACCATAGAACGAAATCCATCTATACTATAGATTGAAATTAGTCAATACCATAGGATGAAATCAATCAATACCATAGAATGAAATCAATCAATACCATAGATTAAAATCAATCAAAAAGTTAGATTGAAATCAATCAATACAATAGATTGAAATCACTCAATACCAAAGATTGAAATCGATCAATACCATATAATGAAATCAATCGATACCATAGAATGAAATCAACCAATACCATAGATTGAAATCGATTGGTTGTGTACAACCAATGAAGGAGAGATTTTATGTTGATATCCCATCATTATCCATCAGACGAGCTCCAACCAGGTACAGGACATTATAGAGAGCCGAGTGGAGAAACGTACTAAGGGAGTTTACGTACCTATCGGGGGCAAGAAGCTGCTCACCTTCATGGACGACTTCAACATGCCAGGCAAGGACACGTTTGGTTCCCAGCCACCCTTAGAACTGATGAAACTGTGGCTGGATTACGGGTTCTGGTATGACCGCCTCAAGCAGACCATCAAATCCATCAAGGATATGTTCCTATTAGCGGCCATGGGACCCCCAGGAGGTGGTAGAATGGTCATCTCCCGGCGTCTCCAGAGTAGATTCAACCTGATCAACATGACCTTCCCACAGGTATTTATATATAGACTAATAACTTAGGAAAATAGTTTATAATCATCTCCCGTTGAATCCGGTATTGTTATTGAAGAAATTATCATCTGGATGAGAAAATTTTGAAGGAAATAGATTTTACAGTTTAAGTTATAACTTGGCCACTTCTTGACTCTAAGAACTTAAATAGTCATAACTTTCACTTTTCATCTCAAAAGTACTACAGTTAGATGTCTATAAGGTCTCAAACATTTCAAATAAAAACATATGAATCTGATGAAAAGGATTATGGATGAAAATACATACCAGGTATGTATATGTAATATTTTTGTTCAATAAAAAAATCTTTAAAAATGCATTTTCAGATACTATTGTCACTATAATGTTTATCTTTTTATGAACATACGATGAAATGTTCATTAAAAACTAGATATAATGCCCCTCATTTCACTTGCAATCTTGACAATGGCCGACATAATTGCAGGTTCCTTTTTCCTTCAACAAAACATTTCCACCTTCATATACAGTTTATTGCCTAGCCCCAATAGATTGCCAAATTTTTGCTTGACAAATGATGCTGGTTTAACAAGGTTTTACTTATATCAAAATCAGCTAAAAATTCATGGACCTTGATATAATGCCTACATTGTAGGTTTAATAAGCCACCTTGCTTTTTGTCAACCTATTTGAAGGTCCTATTTTTTTACGTGTACCTCAATATATTGCCTAACCCCTTTATAATGCCAGTATTTGGCTGAATTTGGCAGTATAAGGAGGTAAAATGTATATGTAAAAACCACGGAATTAGATTATCTATGCTATCTAAGTCAGTGGTAAAAAGAAGTAATGTAAGTTGACATATGGATGTTTGTGATTGTGTAGGAGTCGCAGATTAAGAGGATATTTGGATCAATGATAAACCAGAAGCTACAGGACTTTGAGGAGGAAGTGAAGCCGATCGGGGATGTCCTCACCCAAGCTACCATAGAGATGTACCAGGCTGTTGTCTCCAAGTTCCTCCCCACCCCAACAAAGATCCACTACCTGTTCAATCTGAGGGATATCTCCAAGGTGAGTGGGTCATTTTACTCTGTCTAGTACTCGGGGATATCTCCAGGGTGAGTGGGTCATGTAACTGTGTCTAGTACTCGGGGATATCTCCAAGGTAAGTGGGTCATGTAACTCTGTCTAGTACTCGGGGATATCTCCAAGGTGAGTGGGTCATTTTACTCTGTCTAGTACCTGGGGATATCTCCAGGGTGAGTGGGTCATGTAACTCTGTCTAGTACTCGGGGATATCTCCAAGGTGAGTGGGTCATTTTACTCTGTCTAGTACTCGGGGATATCTCCAGGGTGAGTGGGTCATGTAACTGTGTCTAGTACTCGGGGATATCTCCAGGGTGAGTGGGTCATGTAACTCTGTCTAGTACTCGGGGATATCTCCAGGGTGAGTGGGTCATGTAACTCTGTCTAGTACTCGGGGATATCTCCAGGGTGAGTGGGTCATGTAACTCTGTCTAGTACTCGGGGATATCTCCAGGGTGAGTGGGTCATGTAACTCTGTCTAGTACTCGGGGATATCTCCAGGGTGAGTGGGTCATGTAACTCTGTCTAGTACTCGGGGATATCTCCAGGGTGAGTGGGTCATGTAACTCTGTCTAGTACTCGGGGATATCTCCAGGGTGAGTGGGTCATGTAACTCTGTCTAGTACTCGGGGATATCTCCAGGGTGAGTGGGTCATGTAACTCTGTCTAGTACTCGGGGATATCTCCAGGGTGAGTGGGTCATGTAACTCTGTCTAGTACTCGGGGATATCTCCAGGGTGAGTGGGTCATGTAACTCTGTCTAGTACTCGGGGATATCTCCAGGGTGAGTGGGTCATGTAACTCTGTCTAGTACTCGGGGATATCTCCAGGGTGAGTGGGTCATGTAACTCTGTCTAGTACTCGGGGATATCTCCAGGGTGAGTGGGTCATGTAACTCTGTCTAGTACTCGGGGATATCTCCAGGGTGAGTGGGTCATGTAACTCTGTCTAGTACTCGGGGATATCTCCAGGGTGAGTGGGTCATGTAACTCTGTCTAGTACTCGGGGATATCTCCAGGGTGAGTGGGTCATGTAACTCTGTCTAGTACTCGGGGATATCTCCAGGGTGAGTGGGTCATGTAACTCTGTCTAGTACTCGGGGATATCTCCAGGGTGAGTGGGTCATGTAACTCTGTCTAGTACTCGGGGATATCTCCAGGGTGAGTGGGTCATGTAACTCTGTCTAGTACTCGGGGATATCTCCAGGGTGAGTGGGTCATGTAACTCTGTCTAGTACTCGGGGATATCTCCAGGGTGAGTGGGTCATGTAACTCTGTCTAGTACTCGGGGATATCTCCAGGGTGAGTGGGTCATGTAACTCTGTCTAGTACTCGGGGATATCTCCAGGGTGAGTGGGTCATGTAACTCTGTCTAGTACTCGGGGATATCTCCAGGGTGAGTGGGTCATGTAACTCTGTCTAGTACTCGGGGATATCTCCAGGGTGAGTGGGTCATGTAACTCTGTCTAGTACTCGGGGATATCTCCAGGGTGAGTGGGTCATGTAACTCTGTCTAGTACTCGGGGATATCTCCAGGGTGAGTGGGTCATGTAACTCTGTCTAGTACTCGGGGATATCTCCAGGGTGAGTGGGTCATGTAACTCTGTCTAGTACTCGGGGATATCTCCAGGGTGAGTGGGTCATGTAACTCTGTCTAGTACTCGGGGATATCTCCAGGGTGAGTGGGTCATGTAACTCTGTCTAGTACTCGGGGATATCTCCAGGGTGAGTGGGTCATGTAACTCTGTCTAGTACTCGGGGATATCTCCAGGGTGAGTGGGTCATGTAACTGTGTCTAGTACTCGGGGATATCTCCAAGGTGAGTAGGTCATTTAACACCCCTTGCTCTGTCTAGTATAGAACATAATGGTATAATAAAAAAGACACTTTATACATATACTTGAGATATCATGGGATATCAAGCCATAAAACCCACTGTCTGTCTTGTTCTTATCACAAATTGATCTGACTTTATAATTGAAGAGGTATGTTCAAATGAAATTAGTAGTTTATGATTTCAGTAAAAATTATGATTAAAATTTCGATTTTTCATCTCCATTGATCATTTAGGTTTGGGTTCGATTCACAGCTTCAGGGACTAGCATATGGTCTAAAGGTTACTCTGTAGGTATTGATCATTACTATCGATTGTCCGAATCAAATAATGCGAAAAAGCAAACTTGGAGAGATATACCTTTAGGAAATTGAGGAGTTTGTTCATAGAGGTGGTCTCTCAGCGGGTTTGTTTGTTTATCATTATGAATCATATCCAAAGTGTGACTTTGTGTCCCTGCCGTTACAGATATTCCAAGGTCTGTTGAGGGCCCACAAGGACTACCACGATACAAAGTCAAATATGACCAGACTCTGGATCCACGAATGTTTCAGGTATTTTGTGTTGTGCCACTTTTGTTAATTTGGTTTAACTCTTTCAATTGATTGAACTGGAAAAGAAGCCTGCAGAGGCAAATATTATATATTGTTACACCTCAAGTGAATTTCTAGCTATTTGATTGGTTGGGAGAAAATTAAACAAAAATCTCTGTCACCCTCCGAAAATACATTGGTTTTAAGGGGCGCGGGTGATATTGCCATGAGACAGTTAAAAATATCACATGCGCGAAAAATGTGCGTTCACCGCTTCGTTTCCCCATTGTGATGGTCACAAGAACGTTTGACGGCAACAGCCAATTTTATAAAACGCCGGTGCGAAAGCGATTGTAAACAGCAGACTATCAACAAACAAGATGTCATTATCGAGGTTTGCTGCCGTTTCTGAGCTACAAAGACTTTTGGTGTAACAAATTAGATATGACATTCATTAGCAGGTGACAGTGAATATTGTCAACCCGAGAAAACCATTGTCACCCGAGGCGAATGAATGTCATATTTATATAATGTTAATTTAAGTTTAGATAAGGGAGGCAACTCCATATTTGATAGCATGTTTTGACGTACAATACATATATATATAAATATATAAGTAAATACCTATTTGATATAAAAACTCAACATTTGTTGTGCTATGTGTGTTTACAGAGTATTTTCTGATCGTCTTGTCGAGGAAAAAGACCATGAAACATTTATCAACATCCTCACCGAGAAACTGGGAACCTTGTTCGATCAGACCTACCACAATATCTGTCCTAACAAACAACCGCCCATATTTGGTATGTCATTCAAAACTACATTTAATTATAATGACATACTTGCAAAATAAGTTAATATTGATGTGTATTGGTGTGTTTGCAAATTGTACTGGTGCTCCTTAAACATGTTATAGGGTGATTGTTATAGGCAGGAAATATTATGGAACATTGTCAATGTGGACTTTATATGATCTTCCGTCAGAGAATTACTGGATATTGATATGTAGAAAAAAATATTGACAGTCTCTACACACTAGTTAAACTAGGGCTACATTCGCGTCTCCGGTTGAAACGGTTGAACCTGTAAAGAAAACAACAGGTACAGATTTGGACCGAGGCTGACCTCAGGAAAATTTGGTACGTGTAGATTGAGGGGTCCAGACGTACCTGACCGAAACTAAAATGCTGACTATTGCCAATTTGCGTTATTTCTTTCTTAAACAATGTCAAGTCACATGTAATTTTTAAGATACGTTATGTAATTTAGTGGACGCGTGAGAGGAGGGCATAATATTCTTGATTCATTGTTTTTTATTTTCCGAAACTGTGGATTTTTAGCTCTGCTTATAGAACGGTCCAAGTGTGTTCGTTTATCGTGGAAAATTTCTGCGCCACACGTACCGTTTCAATCGGGATACGCGAATGTAGCCTAAAGGATCTATACTAGTTACAAGATATTCTTATTTCCAAATTAGGGCCAACAAGGAACATAACTCACAACATTTATGATTGGATTACAACTGAGTACATAGTTGTAACAGACTGACATAGAACAATAGATACTAATTTGGTTGTCTAAGAGATAGATGTAAGGGCGATGCACACAATTATCTCCCCTATACCAACCAATGTATCCTTTAGATTTGCAGACTTTTTTTTTACATATTTCATGGGTTTTCCCCATAATTATAATAATAATAATAATATAAAACATTTATATATCGCCCTAAATAATTTATAAAATTACTCTAAAGCGCTTTACAACATATGGATAATAGTAATGGTTGTAATTGTGAAAACAAAAAACAAAGGCTTACAATCACTTTTATACATTTAAGCAAGCAATGTGCACATAAATGAACAAATAAAAGGGTGGCATTTACATGACGTCTTTGCAAAGATTCTAAAAAGCAGATGTGAAGAGGTTAGTTTTGATGTCCCTCTTGAATTTGGCCAGGGTATTTGACTTTCTAATAGCATTTTTTTCTTATTTCATTTTTATTGACAACTTTATGGATTTTTTTCTCTGTAGAAATCAGACTTAAGAAAATAGTATCTTTTTATGTGGACAGTAATATGTGTTACAATATAGCTATGAGAAAGAAACATTGTTGATTATGTGTTGAAAAAGAGCTAGTAATTATGGAGAAAGTTTCAAAATTCAGAATATTTTGTCATGTGACTGGCGACTATATATGGATTTTGATTGGTTGACTGGCGACTATACATGGATTTTGATTGGTTGACAGGTGACTACATGAACATAGACTGTGTGTACGAGGATATCCATGACATTGGTAACCTGAAGAAACACATGATGGACATGTTAGAGGAGTATAATACCACACCTGGAGTGGTCAACATGGATCTGGTCCTCTTTAGGGACGCCATAGAACACGGTGAGTTACCCATACACCAGTCCTACCAACCCATATACCTGTCCTACCTACCCATACACCTGTCCTACCCACCCATACACCTGTCCTACCCACCCATACACCTGTCCTACCCACCCATACACCTGTCCTACCCATCATATACCTGTCCTACCCACCCATACACCTGTCCTACCCATCATATACCTGTCCTACCCACCCTATACCTGTCCTACCAACCCATACACCTGTCCTACCCATCATATACCTGTCCTACCCACCCATACACCTGTCCTACCCATCATATACCTGTCCTACCCACCCATACACCTGTCCTACCCATCATATACCTGTCCTACCCACCCATACACCTGTCCTACCCATCATATACCTGTCCTACCCACCCATACACCTGTCCTACCCATCATATACCTGTCCTACCCACCCATACACCTGTCCTACCCATCATATACCTGTCCTACCCACCCATACACCTGTCCTACCCATCATATACCTGTCCTACCCACCCATACACCTGTCCTACCCATCATATACCTGTCCTACCCACCCATACACCTGTCCTACCCATCATATACCTGTCCTACCCACCCATACACCTGTCCTACCCATCATATACCTGTCCTACCCACCCATACACCTGTCCTACCCATCATATACCTGTCCTACCCACCCATACACCTGTCCTACCCATCATATACCTGTCCTACCCACCCATACACCTGTCCTACCCATCATATACCTGTCCTACCCACCCATACACCTGTCCTACCCATCATATACCTGTCCTACCCACCCATACACCTGTCCTACCCATCATATACCTGTCCTACCCACCCATACACCTGTCCTACCCATCATATACCTGTCCTACCCACCCATACACCTGTCCTACCCATCATATACCTGTCCTACCCACCCATACACCTGTCCTACCCATCATATACCTGTCCTACCCACCCATACACCTGTCCTACCCATCATATACCTGTCCTACCCACCCATACACCTGTCCTACCCATCATATACCTGTCCTACCCACCCATACACCTGTCCTACCCATCATATACCTGTCCTACCCACCCATACACCTGTCCTACCCATCATATACCTGTCCTACCCACCCATACCCCTGTCCTTCCCACCCATACCCCTAACCTATCCACCGATACACCTGTCCTACCCACTCATACACCTGTCCTATCCACCGATACACCTGTCCTACCCACCCTTACACCTGTCCTACCCACCCATACACCTGTCCTACCCACCCATACCCCTGTCCTTCCCACCCATACACCTGTCCTATCCACCGATACACCTGTCCTATCCACTCATACACCTGTCCTATCCACCGATATCCCTGTCCTACCCACCATACACCTGTCCTACCCACCATACACCTGTCCTACCCATCATATACCGGTCCTACCCACCCATACCCCTGTCCTACCCACTCATACACCTATCCTATTATATCACTGGAAGTTGCTAGTCAAAGTTATGTTTTATGTACTGATCAGTTTGGTATGATTGTACTCCTTTGTATTCCAGTGTCTAAGGTTGTCCAGGTATGATTGTACTCCTTTGTATTCCAGTGTCTAAGGTTGTCCGTGTGATTCGTCAGCCTCGTGGAAACATGTTACTGGTGGGTGTTGGTGGTAGCGGACGTCAAAGCTTGACCAGATTGGCAGCAAGCATCTGTGAATTCAAAATCTTCCAGATCGAAGTCACCAAACAATACCGCAAACAGGAGTTTAGAGACGGTAAGATTTAAAGATCCAAGAAATACATTAATAAAATGTTCGAATAAGATTTTCTGAAAAATTTGTACAGAAATGTGAGTAGTTTTGTGTTTGTTATTTTAAATATCTATTTGATGTTTTTATACTTGCAATATACGTTCATGTTACTTGTTTGAAATTCAAATTTCACAAGTTGCATTTCGGTTCCGAATTTATGAACTTTATTACACTTCAGACTTAAAGCGTCTGTACTGGCAGGCTGGGGTTGACAACAAACCAACGGTGTTTATATTCAATGACACACAAGTGGTGGAGGAGGGATTCCTTGAGGATATCAACAACATCCTCAGTAGTGGTGAGGTGCCCAACCTCTACAAACCTGACGAATTTGAGGAGGTATGTAGATGTAGCTCATCGTGAGATAATATCAGGTTACTGGGGCCAGCTTCAGATCAAGCTCATTGAGAGATAAGATCAGGTTACTGGGGCCAGCTTCAGGTCAAGCTCATCCTGGGATAAAATCAGGTTACTGGGGCCAGCTTCAGGTCAAGCTCATTGTGAGATAAGATCAAGTTACTGGGGCCAGCTTCAGGTCTAGCTCATCGTCAGATAAGATCAGGATACTAGGGCCAGCTTCAGGTCTAGCTCTTCGTCAGATAAGATCAGGATACTAGGGCCAGCTTCAGGTCAAGCTCATCGTGGGATAAAATCAGGTTACTGGGGCCAGCTTCAGGTCAAGCTCATCGTGGGATAAGATCAGGTTACTGGGGCCAGCTTCAGGTCAAGCTCATCGTGAGATAAGATCAGGTTACTGGGGCCAGCTTCGGGTCTAGCTCATCGTCAGATAAGATCAGGTTACTGGGGCCAGTTTCAGATCAAGCTCATCGTGGGATAAGATCAGGATACTGGGGCCAGCTTCAGGTCTAGCTCATCGTGAGATAAGATCAGGTTACTGGGGCCATCTTCAGGTCAAGCTCATCGTTAGATAAGATCAGGTTACTGGGCCAGCTTCAGGTCTAGCTCATCGTGAAATAAGATCAGGTTACTGGGGCCAGCTTCAGGTCTAGCTCATCGTCAGATAAGATCAGGATACTAGGGCCAGCTTCAGGTCTAACTCATCGTCAGATAAGATCAGGATACTGGGGCCAGCTTCAGGTCTAGCTCATCGTTAGATAAGATCAGGTTACTGGGGCCAGCTTCGCGTCTGCTTATGGATGGTTTCACAAACAGTTTTGTAAGCCAAGCTTAGAAAAGGTTAATGTCAAATTGTAACTCAACATTTCTTTAATCTTTTTAAAAGCCAGTTAAAAAAAATCCAACATCATTCTTCTATTTTATATAATTTTAAATAACCAAGGTTTTGTGAAAATTCTTTGTTTATTTAACAGTACAAAATTCTACCCAACAAACTTCTATAACATTGTAGGATTTTTTTCTTCTGAACATTGTAAAAATAAAAAATAAAAAAGTGATTTTTTATTTATTATTACATAAAGTTACACCATAATTATATTATGATCTTTTCCCATGCTTGATTAATCTGTAAATCGTTTCTTTGACATTTGTAGCGATTTTTTTTCTTCTGAATCGACAAATTTCAATCTTTGAAAAAGCATTTTTCTTTTTTCTTTTTCTTTTCGTATACATGTACTTTCATTATTTGATGCAGGATAAAATCTGTTAATCGGTCGATTAAAATCCTAATATAAGTCCATTTTCAAATTCATTATCGGTTTAAAGCTTACAACTTATCATGTTAATGGTTGTCGGTGCTGAGAGTATTTATTTAGTATCTTAATATTGTCTGGAAACAAATTCATTGTGTCTTTTAACAACAGAAATCTGGTTTTTACAAAACAAAACAAAACAGTAACAGTATTGATATCGTAAACAAATCTTAGTTTTTGAAAAAGAAAACATCTAATATTGTTTGGAGTAAGTTTGATAAAAGATAATTTTAATACTAAATTAAATTTAAAAAACAGATTTCAGTTTTGATATTGATGTTTATCCTGTCACCCCTTTAAAACGACATAATGAACTGTTCCAGTTGATCAGTCCACATTGTATGTGTAATAAAAGGGGTGACAGGGTAGACATTGTCAGTGTTGTAGAATTTTGCTTAATATTTACTGCTTTGTAACTTTTAATGGAATTGATGTTCATTGAAACATTGCTTTTTACATTTTGTGTGATTCTTACAAAGACAGAAATTTGCTTAATATCCTAACTGCTGTATGTAGACTGGTGAAGAGTTTAAAACACCTGGAATCTTGTTGGTCAAACAAACTCTTGATCCCTATGATGCCCTTAAGTGTAGGTTTTCTGTTACAGATTTGGTGGAGAAAAAGAATTTTACAATGTGATCTGTCTAAAACTTGATATTTATAAGCTGGAAATCAGTAGTTAAGCAGCATATTAGGTCTGTCTATATATATTTCTCTGTAAATTTAATCATTCTCATCTGAAATCTGTCTATTATAAGCAAAATTCCAATAATTTGCATTTTAGACAAGTTTTTACTGCATAATATTCTATTAGTTGATCCTTTGTGATCTAAAACCTGACATTTCAGGACAAAAAATACATTTTTAAGACTATTGTGTTCTGTTTTGACATTGTACAGCTTCCCTTTGCGTTTAAATGAGGTTAAAGTTTCTAAATATCAGAAAGTAAACTTCATAAAGAAATTTTCATGTCTCAAAATGTGTTGATAGTGAAATACTTTTCATTTTGTAGAAAAGATTGCCAAAAAAAGAATTTGGATATAAAATACATAGTTTCAGTTTTTAAGCATGAACAGGACTCTTCTGGGATTTTTTTTTATAAAGTTCAGTCTGTATAATCATTTTTTTTCTAATTTTGTAATTTTTTAAGAAATGGCCATACTGGCATATAATTTTAGTTTTTTCGGTTCGGTTGGAAAGACATCTATAAATGAAGGCCTAAGAGTCTTATTTTTGGTAGTTTTAGACTTCTAACGATGTAGGGTTGTGTAGCTAGGTTTTAGTTTATTCTGGTCAGGGTTAGGAAATGTTTGTGGTGACTGGTGTTTATTGATTTGACCAACAAGTTTCCAGCATCTAACCAACATCTCCAGGCGAGGTGATTCCTCCGTCGTCCTGGAGACGATCCTTTGGTACAGATCTGAAGCCTGTTACAACACTGCCCCCTAACGCCTCGGTCATCAAGGGGAGGTAACACCCACACACTGGTTCTTATAGACAATACGATGTTCATAAACAACAATACTGTGTTCATAAACAACAACATCTAGAACAACAGTAACATAAAGATTTCACGATATGAATTCTTGACCTTGGTTATAAACTTACAAACAAAACTAATAGCAGTACTTGACAAATTTTGAAAATGATTATAATTACAAGATGGGGTAAAAATATGAATAAAAAGTAGTAGTTTCATGTTCAAAAAATGATATTTAAGACTTTAAAAATTGATATTTAAAAGTCACGTTATATTCCCATGCTATCATTACTATGTATTTCAACTCGGATGCAGTCAATGTTGTGTTCAGAGACCACCTTTGTAACATCCATAAAGTGGTATTTTTTACAAAATGGAGGGTTTTAAAAGTGGTCTCCTAACACAGGTGGTCTCCTCACACAGGTGGTCTCCTAACACAGGTGGTCTCCTAAAACGAGGTAGTTTTATCTATACTATATACCAGGTACTGTATATCACAATTTTTTGGGGGGAGATCAATTTGCATGTCAATTTGGGAGGAACTACTTTGGGGATTTTAATGTCCCACAAATATTAATTTCCAAGTTAATCAACATTACGATAGCAACCTCTTAAAAGAATTCTTTGTGTTAGGTAAATATAGTAAGCAAAATAAAGTAAAAGTTATGGTGATTTACAGCATCAGATACCCCAATGATTTTGACATAGTAAGGTAATAAAACAGTATATCACACAGTCAGTAACATAGCAACAGAACCAGTGTGTGTTAGTCCTTAACCCGTTCCCTCCTGGTGATGGACACGTGGGGCGGGATGTAACAGGCTACAGAGGTGTACGAGTTACGTGTATCGTCAAACACTTGGTGTACATTGTAGTAGCCAGACTTAAGGTCACTGCTAGCCAGGCTATCTTATCAATGACATGTGTGCATCTCGTGTTTGATATTATCATTGCCCAGGTGCGAACGGCTCTGAGTGACATTGTCAAAAAAGAAGGAATCGATGATAGCCCTCAGAGCGTGTTTGCATTCCTCGTTAGCCGAGTGAGAGCCAACCTCCATGTGGTGCTGTGTATGAGCCCTGTAGGAGAGCCCTTCAGGTAAGGTAGACAACTCAGATGCAAGGTAAACAACTCAGGTACAAGGTATATAACTCAGGTATAAGGAAAACAATTCAGACACAAGGCAGACAACCCAGACATAAGGTAGACAACTCAGGTACAAGGCAGAAAACTCAGGTACAAGGCAGAAAACTCAGGTACAAGGCAGAAAACTCAGGTATAAGGTAGAAAACTCAGGTACAAGGTAGAAAACTCAGGAATAAGGTAGAAAACTCAGGTACAAGGTAGAAAACCGAAGTACAAGGCAGAAAACTCAGGTATAGATAGAAAACTCAGGTATAAGGTAGATAACTCAGGTACAGGGTATATAACTCAGGTACAAGGTATATAACTCAGGCACAAATATTGTGGTACACAAAACAAATATGGTAGACATCTCCCATACAATGTACACATCTCAGGTACAAGTGTCAAGGTAGACAACTTAGGCAAAAGGTAGACAACTAGGTGCAAGTATTGACATATAGAACAAGGTAGAAAACACAGGTAGGATAAACAACTTAGACACAATGCAGACAACTCAGATACAAGGTAGACAACTCAGGTACAAGACAGACAACTCAGGTACAAGGTAGACAACTAAGGTACAAGGTAAACAACTCAGACACAAGGCAGACAACTCAGACATAAGGTAGACAACTCAGGTACAAGGTAAACAACTCAGACACAAGGCAGACAACTCAGACATAAGGCAGACAACTCAGGTACAAGGCAGACAACTCAGACATAAGGTAGACAACTCAGGTACATGGCAGACAACTCAGACATAAGGTAGACAACTAAGGTACAAGGTAAACAACTCAGACATAAGGCAGACAACTCAGGTACAAGGCAGACAACTCAGACATAAGGTAGACAACTCAGGTACATGACAGACAACTCAGACATAAGGTAGACAACTAAGGTACAAGGTAAACAACTCAGACATAAGGCAGACAACTCAGACATAAGGTAGACAACTCAGACATAAGGTAGACAACTCGGGTACAAGGCAGACAACTCAGACATAAGGTAGACAACTAAGGTACAAGGTAAACAACTCAGACACAAGGCAGACAACTCAGTCATAAGGTAGACAACTTGGGTACAAGGCAGACAACTCAGGTACAAGACAGACAACTCAGGTACAAAGCAGACAACTCAGGTACAAGGTAGACAACTCAGGTACAAAGCAGACAACTCAGGTACAAGGCAGACAACTCAGGTTCAAGGTAGATAGCTCAGGTTCTAGGTAGATAACTCCAGTAAAAGGTATAAAATAATGGTAAAAAGCAGTCTACTCAGGATACAGGGTAAGTTTACTTGAGTATGAATTATGAATTAGAAAGATTGGATACAAAAGTGGACATCATGGATGTATAACTAGATAGTGAGATGCACATCCTTGTATATCATTGCATATCATGGAGATTGACAATTTACTTTGGAGGTAGGTGAAAAAAACCCATTTAATAAGGCCAAATAATTCAGGTCCATATATAAATATATTTACATATTCAATACATAAATGATTAAAATACATTTAAAAACAAGAAACTATTTGTTCAATGGGGAAAAATTTAGATACCTCAGGAAAATTTAATACTTCACACTTAAATATTCATTCCTTATGATTAATCTTTAGAATTGTTGTATTCCATTTACTACATTTGCATATTTGGTTTGTCTAGGAACCGCATGCGTATGTACCCCGCATTCGTCAACTGTACGACAATCGACTGGTTCAGTGAGTGGCCTCAGGACGCTTTGCTGGAAGTCGCCGATAAATACTTGGCCGAGATCAACTTGGGCGGTGAAGACGAGGTGAGGTCTCGCACTGTCTGTGTGCAGTGTTTAGTGTTCTTCATGTTGTGTTGTCAGAGTGACCTCCCTTTTGTGAGGTCTGTCACTATCCTGTCAAGTCATTTAGATGCAGTTTTAACGAAACATGATCTAAAAAGAAGTGAAAAAGAATATCATGAAGTATTAATATACATAGTTAAAGTTCTGTGAAACTTTTGTGGTATTTGATATTATGAGAATTTTTCTTATTTCAATTAAGTTACAAATTATTTACCCATATTGTATTCTTTTTTTGAAAAAATGATGTCAAGTTTTATCATTCAAAGTTAATGTGATATTCTATAAGAAAGAGCTATACAAGAAACTTTAATTAAATCATTATATGGTAATATATTATTTGCTTTTGTACAAAAATTTAAATTTCATCTCTTGGAATTACTTGAACAATTTATCGGGGTAGCCACAGTGTGTTTTTGGGGTGTTAAGGGCACTGTTGTGATGGGGTGTGATTGGTTGGCTTGTGGTGGCAGTATTAGATATCAAGCTGCTGACCAAATTAATTACCATATTTGACCGGTGATAAGCCCAGGGGAGAAAACTAATAATTTCACCACAGAAATAAAGTAAAATGGAACTGGGATTATTCCAGAATTTAAATGAATTAATATGTAAGAGTTCAGAGTTTATTAACAGTGTTGTCTCGGATTTATCATCTTTGCAACACTTACTATCATAACAGTTGTTCTTTCCACTTATGACTATTATTTGTGAAATCTGCTATACAATGGGGTGGGCTTATTGCTGAGCATGGGCTAAATACAAAACATCATTTGATCAGCTGTGATTATTATGGCCCCACATCTGGAGACCTGTTATACAAGGTAACAGACTTATTTGTATAAGAGGGTTGGCTTATCACCAGACATGGGCTTATCATCAGACATGGGCTTATCACCAGACATGGGCTTATCACCAGACATGGGCTTACCACCAGACATGGACTTATCATCAGACATGGGCTTATCACCAGACATGGGCTTATCACCAGACATGGACTTATCACCAGACATGGGCTTATCACCAGACATGGGCTTATCACCAGACATGGGCTTATCACCAGACATGGGCTTATCACCAGACTTATCATCAGACATGGGCTTATCACCAGACATGGGCTTACCACCAGACATGGACTTATCACCAGACATGGGCTTATCACCAGACATGGGCTTATCATCAGACATGGGCTTATCACCAGACATGGGCTTATCACCGGAAATATATGTAATTCTATTCATCCTACTTAACATTCATCAGTTGGATTATATGTGACTAATGTTTCTTGCAGACGAGGCGGACAGAACGAGTGGGTACTTGTTTTGGGTGGCCAGCTAAGCTTATTGTGCTTTTGATCATAGCTATTATAATTCATGTCATAAAAAAACCCATTAACCAAGGATATTGTCTTTGTCATGATTTCAATGTTGTAAATAACCAACTGACAGGAAGTTTTTTAACTTCATTCCACATTTAGAAAAGCAAGAAACAAGCGGTAAGCTGTCATTTATTGTATTATTATGGAGACTCTGTATATCACAGTATCCTTTCTTTTACTAAACACCACATCTTCTTTTGGTTACGGGCCTACCGCGCTATACAGTACAGAACAGAATTGTTGTAGAAAACCATGCAAATATATATATAAATGTAAGGCAGGACATGGGTCTGTACATTCTATACATGGAACCTTGTTTACATAGAGACACATGTGTTTCTGATAAAAAAAAAAATACTGAAAAAGAAAAAAATATAGATTAAAAACGAACATGCATTTATCTCTAAAAAGATTTAGTCTTCAAAAAAGATGCTATTCATTGTTTTTTTGGTTTGTCTGGATTCCCTACATTTAGGCCGATTTTATTTATCCTGATCCAAATGATTGAACTGGTTGTTCAAGAGTTGTTTGTTTACGAAATAAGGTCGGACCTAGTAATCTGATGGTGCTTTCAGGCAAGCCTTGACAAAGGCTTTCAAGGCCTCAATAAATGTTTGCAGGTCCGCAAGGATTAACAGACAAATCGGTTGTTCCATATAAATGAACAGGCCGTTAGATAACTGGATTCCTGTTAATGTCATATGCCGTTTGTCAGAGCAAAAATTGATATTAAACAAAGTGTGACATTAACAGGAAGACTGCTAATAATAAGAAGTATAAATAAAATTGTATAAACAAAGTCATCAAATGTGACATTAAACAATTTGACATTAAAAGGAATCCTCTTTATAGCTGTACTGATTTCATATCAAGAATTTGAAGTAAGTTTTGACAATCAATTTCTGTTTCAGTAATTATATATATTTATCATTGGAATATTTATGAAATCAGAAACATTTCGAGAAAGAAGTGTCTGTTTTAAAGAGGTGCCATTGTACAGTGTACTGATCCATGAGAATTATTTTGTTTAGGATATGTTTTTGACCTGTTGGTACAGAGATATTAGAAATAGTCCTGTGTATGTCATGTAGGTACATCGTAGAAAGGTGCTGCACAGATCAGACAAGGCGTTTGATGGACAGCTATATGGCAGAAATTTTATATGATAGAATAGCTTTTGCTGTTGCTGCATGATATGTAGACAGCTAGTCAATGCTACTGGAAAGGTTCACTTCATATATACTTCATATATACTTCATATATACTTCATTTTTACAAAAACAAAGAAAGTACTAAAAATACCATTTTTTTTAATAAAGCTTATGAATTTAGTAAAAATCATATATGAAGTCTCACATTAAATGGGGATTTTTTTTATTTCTTAGGGTGGAAAGTAAAAAATCATCTTCATTTCAAAAGGACAGCAAAATAGATTTCTTTTTAATTATTTTTTTTAAACTAATTAATTACGACAGCATTTAAATTTTGCTAATGAACAAAATGATTGTTCAGATAATAAAATCTAAACATTATCCTAATTAACGCTTTAGGATAAGCTACATATGTCTCTAAAAGTAGATGACATTTTATTCTAGTACCAATTGAAACAATATTTTACAATCGTGTTTAGAAATTAAATATAGCAAGCTGATAAAAACAGTCAACAGTATTTTTTACTCGCATAATTTTGGCAATAGGGAATTTAAATTCACAAACAAGCATTTTAATATAAAAGATACCACTTAAAAACCTTATTTTATATATACGTCTATTTCAACGATGGTTTTGGTATCTGTTAACAAGACAAAGAACTTAGTATACCGTAGATATACAGGATGAAGGAATTGTTAGTTGTATATCATGGATTTTACAAATTGTCGACACATTAGAAAATTAGTGGCATGTACGATATATAGTTTGTGGTCTAAGTACGTAAGGCTTGAACAATTATATTTATTTGAAAATATATAGTTTGTGGTCTTAAATCATTTGGAAAAAATATATTTATTTAAAAATATATAGTTTATTTGATCAAATATTCTATACATGTATATACATAGTGTGACAATTATAAGTGCTCATACAAGATATAATTAGATTAGGAGAAATATGAGTTATCTTTATATATGAATATATTCTATGTATAATTAGAAAAAATATGTAATCATACCTTTTTTCTTTGCAATTTACTACAAAATATCATTAACATTTTCTTTATTTAATTTTCACTTTATATGTAAGTGCCACACTAAGTTCTGGTGTTTCCTAGGTCTGTGCCAGGGTTCTGTACTTCCTCATTATTTACCAATGTCTCCATACCTGAAGTATATTCTGACTAGAAACCATGTACTCCCTATACCTATATCATATAAATTAGATTGATGACCCTGTTATTAATTAACCCTTGACCTTTCCCCTTCAGTTAATCCAACATTTACCCATGGTCTAACATATATACATTGGGTTTTATAGCTTAAAACTTGATCGATGTAGCAGTAAGTTGTGACTAGTTGACAGGATTGTACAATTTCATTCAGTACTAGTCCAAAGGTTGATCTTGAAAAAATATTCTAGTCTGACTCCTATTTAAAAAGTCAATATTGAAAATTTGGCACAAGCGCTGATAAAAACTACTAGCCCTGGGCATCGGGATAGTGAAATTGTACACCCCTGGATGAAATATTTTTTTGTCCTTTTGAATAATCAAGTACTTCCTATATCAGTGTAGTGCTATTTTTTTACCATCTCTGGCGAGTCCTGTGCACTGTTGTTAAGGCTTCAAGTTAAATCTAAATGACATGCATATTTTAATAAAGTAATAAAAAGTTTCTGATAGCTAAAAATTCATATTTGTTTTTTAGAAATCAAGAAGTTCATTCAAGGGAGGTAATAAAGTAGTAAGTCAAGGCAGGTTATCAGTTGAATTAAGGGAGGTAATAAAGTAAGTCAAGGGAGGTAACACATGATCCTGTTGGTGTAGGGAAACCCTTGGTTGCATGCCTCATTGTAGGTATCAAGCATGGCCTATGTCTCTCATGGTTACGGTGTCGAAGCATGCTCCTGAATCTTTCCTTACAAACTACTGCTTTCCTCTGTCTTCATGCATGATCTTTCATTCATATAACTAACTCATTCATGTTATTTTCATTGTTTATTATGTTTCTTTTAAAGAAGCATGCATTTTTTACAGTTTATTTTATCGTTACTTGCCTGAATCATTATGGTGAGGTGAAGTTTTGATTAATTGAATATTTGTTACATTTCAAAGTATGAATGTGGAAAACAGGCAGATTATTGACTGTCATAATCAATTCACTGTGTCACTATAAGGAGATGTACAGTAAAACCTTGTTATACTGCCATCATTTTCTGCTGAAAATTTGGTTGTATAAACTAAATTAGTAGCGAGCGTGACATATAAATAAAAGACTTTGGGGAAAAAAGGGGGACCAATTGATGGCATGTAGATGTAACTGAAAATTTCTGTCATCATTCTTAACTCCTGTCACATTTTTATTAGTGGGTTGTGCAACTGTTATGTATTCCATAGTGTCCTGTACACCCATTGTATAATTTAACGGCAATGAAAGTGAATGGAAGGTAGACTTATAGTTCTAACATTAATTTGCCTCTTGATTTTTCTGTCTATATGTTATTAGGTTTACGGCTAGGTTCAGTAAATCATTTCATAAAATGCATCATAATTTCCATGTTGTAACACTGTGTCTCTGCCATCAAAGATTGTTTATTTTTCTGTTAAATCTTGTGTAAAAATTACAACAATGATCAATGTTTCAGTAGGTAATTGTCTGTTGTTTGCAGGAAAAGCTTAAACCTTTGTTGGCCAAGATGTTTTCCGTCATGCACAAATCTGTAGTGGCATTCTCCCTGCGGCTGTTACTGGAAATGAGGCGTCACAACTACGTCACACCAACCAACTACCTGGAGCTCGTCAGCGGATACAAGAAGTAAATCGAATATCTTACGATGTATTGATAATTCTTATTTCTTTTTGTGAAGTCCATGATTTCACTTTTAGGAAATAAGGTCTTGTTTTTCAAATTTTGCTTTTATATGTACTTTTGAATGATTTAAACTCCAAACATTTCATGGGAAATACAATGAAAACAATAATTTTTAATTTGGTCATATTGCTTTCAGTGACTTTTCCTCTGCAGATGTGATATAGAAATCCGTTACATTGTAATGGATGAATCCTAATTGCATAGGTGTCAACCTTCGAAATCTCCAATGAGGGAGATCTCTTGCATTCCACGTTTCCAATGATGGAGAAAGTGTGTGAAATGTAACTGAAACTGCTTCGATCAATTTATCTTTCCCTTTTTATGTATCAAAATACCTAAAAAAACATTCATTTGATTCAGACACACCTGTTATGATCATTACACACACCCTGCAGTAACTAGGAGGTCATTTGACTAATGGATGTAGATTTTGAGTTTGTGTGAGTTTGAACTTGAATGAGGGAGTTTCGAGGGAAATTTTGGTCAAAATGAAGGAGGGCTGACAGCTATGTATTTGGTAGGGATTTTAAAAAGTACAAATGGAGAGGCTACCCCCAGGGGGCTGACGGGCGGGCCAAGAAGGATTATAAATTGCAAATGGTTGAGACACCTTATGAACATATACGCAATTGCTGGGCATGAAGAGACAAATACTGATATCCTACTAGGGCCTATTGGTCAGCCCTGCGCTTTGGGACTTTGTCACTTGAATTGGTCATACCATTGAAGTGTTTGAGATCCCTACCCAATAACTAATAGAAAATTGCTAAGTATAAAGAGACAGATACACCTATGCTGCCCAAGTTTGGCCCAACCCCTGGAGACTTAGTCCCTGTGTCCTAACATAGAAATGGATGAAATCCCCCACGCCGTTATAATATATGGCACCCTAGGGTCAGGTGCCATCCCTTAGGATGTAGTTCCTTGGTCATGACATTGACATGGCTGAGATCCCCAACCCTATAGCAGTATGCACGATGAGCATGAAGAACTAGATACACACCTTCCAGGATTAACTCTTGGGTCTGGCCCCACCCCTTTGAACTCATTTCAATATTGCTATTAATAAAAATATTTGACCAAATACCCATGTGAGTGTTGCAGGCCCTCAGAGCCTCATGTTACTACTTGTATCAGTCTCCTGCTGTTTACCCAAGACGTTTATGCATTTTCTCTCTAGCTGTTGTTCATTTCAGATCTTTGTTTACCAGTTGTATTTCTCTGTTGTTTGTTGTTTTCAAACTGTATCGTTGTTTATCTCAGACTGTTGTTCAATAAGAACAAGGAGCTTGGCGATGCCTGTAACAAGCTGAAGAACGGTCTCAGTAAGATTGACGAGACGCGTGAGAAGGTGGAAAAGATGTCAATAGAACTCGAAGACGCGAAGATCAAAGTGGCACAGTTCCAGAAACAGTGCGACGATTACCTGGTCACTCTGGTCCAGCAGAAACGAGAGGCAGACGAACAGCAGAAGTCTGTGGCGCAAAAGTCGGAGAGGATTACAGAGGAGGAAAGTAAGTGTCAGCACATGGCTGACCTTGCCCAACATGACCTTGACGAGGCTCTGCCAGCCCTGGAGGAATCCATTAAGGTAGGATACATAACATTGATTCACTTGATCTGACCTAGTTTTTTATTATCACAAAAAAAGACCAGTCATATAGTATCAAATGATGATAAAATATAATTGGCTTGTGATCGGGGAGAAATAGAAACTACAGAAAAGATAAATCTATAAAATAAAAACAAAGGAAGGCAAAGCAAAATACTTTTTGTGAAAAGTGACCTAGATTTGTCAATTGATAAATGAATGACTCTTTTGAAATTTACACAAGAATTGCCTGCATTAGTAAGACTGAGGCAGTTCTGTGTTATTGGGGAATTTAAGGGGGATCATTTTAAACACAAAATACATTGGATATGATATGCTAAACAGGGTAAATCCTCTCTTCATGAACAAATTAACCCTGTGTTTGGATTGGCACACATTCTGAGGATGTAAACAATTGCCAGATTGGTACACACTCTGAGGATGTAAACAATTGCCAGATTGGCACACACTCTGAGGATGTAAACAATTGTCAGATTGGCACACACTCTGAGGATGTAAACAATTGCCAGATTGGTATCCTGACTGCTTGTGTTCTAGGCACTGGAGTCTCTCAACAAGAAGGACATTGGAGAGATCAAGTCCTATGGCCGACCTCCGACCCTTGTAGAAAAGGTCATGGAAGCTGTCATGATTTTAAGAGGACAGGAGCCTTCATGGGGCGAGTCTAAAAGGCAGCTTGGTATGTATTGGTGACCATGGTTACCATTTTCTTGAAATTTTTGCTTTTGTTTCAAAGAAAAATTAACTTTATATATACCGCATAAAAGTGAATACACGTCTTTCCCTTATAAGTGCCAGCTATGTTTTTCTGTTGCAAATGTCCCATCCTTTTTGATTTGCTAACTTGCTCAGTTAAAAAAAATAAGTACCTGCTGCAGAATACAGGATTTTTCTTTTGCCCGTCTATGGAGCATGAAAGAGACAAACATGTATCTACAGTGTACCTTCACCCCACACCCCTTCAATATTTAGGACCACTATTTATTCTTTTCTCTCCTACGGAATCTTAGTTTGGCTAGCCTAGACACCTCTAGTTAGCCTGTTGTCAGAACAATGGCTAGCCTAGACACCTCTGGTTAGCCTGTTGTCAGAACAATGGCTAGCCTAGACACCTCTTGTTAGGCTGTTGTCAGAACAATGGCTAGCCTGGACACCTCTGGTTAGTCTGTTGTCAGAACAATGGCTAGCCTAGACACCTCTGGTTAGCCTGTTGTCAGAACAATGGCTAGCCTGGAAACCTCTGGTTAGCCTGTTGTCAGAACAATGGCTAGCCTAGACACCTCTGGTTAGGCTGTTGTCAGAACAATGCCTAGCCTAGACACCTCTGGTTAGCCTGTTGTCAGAACAATGGCTAGCCTGGACACCTCTGGTTAGTCTGTTGTCAGAACAATGGCTAGCCTAGACACCTCTGTTTAGCCTGTTGTCAGGACAATGGCTAAGCCTGGACACCTCTGGTTAGCCTGTTGTCGGAACAATGGCTAGCCTGGACACCTCTGGTTAGCCTGTTGTCAGAACAATGTCACCGGAGGGAGTGTCATGCTGTCCAGGTTATGACACTTCAGTGAGGTTCTGGTCCTGGTTCGTAATCAGCAACGTCCTATTGAGTGACACTTTAACGTGGCCTCTGAGTGGCCCCATTATGTGGTGATACCCGGTATATATAGCCTTAACTGTAGCAAGGATATTATTAATGAACAATCATGTAGAAAAACAGCCAGCTTGCTTCTGTAGCTGAACTGGACTGGGTCGATCGTTGGCGACCAGGTAGCTCAAATGGTAGAGCGTCCATCTAGAGTAAGGAGGGCCCTGGGTTCAAAACCCAGTCTGGCCGTGCATTTTTCTTCTCCTGTTACTGTGGTGCCTGTGACCAACCCTTGTTTCAAGCATTTGGTGTATGCTTGGCAAGGGGATACCCGAACCTGGGTTGTAACTAGTTGTGTCTTCGGGGGAGAAGACTAAGAAAAAGGAGGGAAGAATGTTGCCAAACTGGACTGGGTCGATCGTCAGTGACCAGGCAGCTCAATTGGTTGAGCGTCTCTCTAGAGCTCAGAGGGTCCCAGGTTCGAACCCCGGTCTGGCCGTGCATTTTTCCTCTCCTGCTCTCCATTTGACTGTATCTGAAAATTTCATATTCTTGCATATTTAAACCCTTTTTTTTTCATTAAGCTTCATTAAGCTGATATCTAAAAAAAAATACACTGAAACATCATTCTACATGTGATTTTAAAAAATCTTACAATTTAAAATTTGACTGAACCATTCATTATGAAGTTTGATATAGATCTCAGACAATAGCCTACTACTGAAGAATAAAGAAGACCTTTTTTAAACAATATACTGATAGGTATATTAAGTTCAATATTTGGGATATTGTCATTGAATTCCGAAAACATAATTGATTTTTCTGTTGCTAGGTGACAATAATTTCATCAAGCAGTTGATGAACTTTGACAAGGACAATATCTCTGACCGTGTGTTGAAGAAGATTGGTGGGTATGTAGCTCAGTCAGATTTCCAGCCAGAAATCATTGGTCGTGTATCTGGTGCCGCCAAGTCCCTGTGTATGTGGGTGAGGGCTATGGAGGTGTATGGCCGTGTTTTCAGGGTCGTAGAGCCCAAGAAACAGAGACTGAATGCAGCCATGAACCAGCTTAAGGAAAAACAAGACGCTCTAGCTGATGCCAAGGCTAAGCTGGCAGAGGTACGTATTGTAGTTTTGTTTGTAGTTACAATGAGTTTTTGTGTCTTTTGAATTGAGAGTTATTGTATCCTGCGTCTGTCACATATTGAAGTATTTATTACACACATAGATTATCTCCCCTACATCATCATGATAATAGTGAGATTATCTCCCCTACATCATGATGATAATAGTAAATTATCTCCCCTACATCATCATGGATAATAGCAGATTATCTCCCCTACATCATGATGGTAATAGTAAATTATCTCCCCTACATCATCATGGATAATAGCAGATTATCTCCCCTACATCATGATGGTAATAGTAGATTATCTCCCCTACATCATCATGGATAATAGCAGATTATCTCCCCTACATCATGATGGTAATAGTAAATTATCTCCCCTACATCATCATGGATAATAGCAGATTATCTCCCCTACATCATGATGGTAATAGTAGATTATCTCCCCTACATCATCATGGATAATAGCAGATTATCTCCCCTACATCATGATGGTAATAGTAGATTATCTCCCCTACATCATCATGATAATAGTAGATTATCTCCCCTACATCATAATGATAATAGTGGGTAATTCCTTTTTGGCTGAGTCCAAGATTTTGTATATTTTATGTCCCCCATGTTTTGGCTAAGATTGTTTATATGAATATATATTATTTCTGTTTTATCAGAGCTAAAATTAAGTCAGTTTGACTACCCTGGTAAATGTATGATAAACTCCCTTAGATCAAGGCAAAGGCTGTTTGAGGTTATCTTTCATTTGTTGAGGCTAGGATTGTATCTGCTTTGGTTGAGGCAGAGACTAACATCCAATCCCATAATTCACTTGCCTTTCACTAAGGCGGCCAGGTTCGATTCCCCGATCGGACATGAAAAGGTATGGGGTCACCTGCCCGACCACTAGGGTTTCACCGAGTACTCCGGTTTCCTCCCACATTAAGACCCCTGCACGCAAACATCCGTGCCAGCAAGAGTGATAAATATAAGTTGATATAAGTTGAAATAACTTGTTTCATAATTGTTGTAAAATAAATAAAGTTAATAATGAAACAAAAATAATTGTAAATGGTTATCTCTCCTAGGTTGAGGCTAAGATGGCCGAATTAAAGCAGCAATACGACGAGAAGCTTGCCCAGAAGGAGGAGCTAAAGAGGAAGGCGGAATACACGGAGATGATGTTGGATCGCGCAGCCAAGCTCGTGTCAGGATTGGCTGGTGAGAGGATCCGATGGGAGGAGACGGTCAAGGTAAATCTCTCAAAATTACGAACAAATTGTGTATAGGACATCTTTGCTGCATGTGAAACAAGTTTTCTTTTCTATGTAACACAGACTACATTGGTTCTGCAGAAACAGCAGTATTAAACTGGGGTCCCAGGCAGCTGGGCACTTATAAACTATGACGAAAATAAATATAAATAACTAATAAGGTGTGAGAAAAAAAAATCAATTACCGTACTTATATCTGATTGAGATCAGGTTACATCTCGGTCTCCGTGAATGAGTGAGACTAAGAACACTGTAACACAGCAGACGTGCGCCTCAGTCAGGACCATGTTACAGAATCTTAGCCTCGACTGAGATAACCCTACCTCGATTAGATCTATTAGTCTCTCTGAAGACACAAACTTTCCAGAACAACTAATTCTGTCAGATTTTCCTGACCACTGGTAGATGTAATCACCATCATTATTTAGCCTTTTTTTTTTTTCAGTGAAGTCCCTTCTGTACCTTGGATGATATAAGTTGTCCTTCAGGTTAAAGTTTTAGTTGGTCACCTTTAAGCAAATATTATTTTTGCATTGTACACATATGATTATAATTTCTATTTGAAAGAAATGTAAGTTGACTCAAAAGAGTTGGCGGGCCCCTTTCACATACGCAGTTCAGCCAGTCTGTCTGTTTTTAAATGTAACATTTTTGGGTGTAAATCCTGGCGGACCTGCTAATGTTTATGCAGGCCTTTGCAAGGCTTTGTCAAGGCATGCTTGAAAGCAGCATCAGAATACGATGGTCAGACCTTGTTTCATAAACCAACAACTCTGGTCCAACTGGTTCAACTGTTTGATTCGGGATAAATGAATGAGGCCTAGGAAGCAATCTCTTCTCTGAAAATGGCTAACCTTCAACATTGATAACCAGAAAGGGAATAGAGGTCTCCATGTATATATACACCTACACAATTTGTTAATCCTTTCCTTTTTAACTGCTATGACCCAGGCAGATGATAAAAAAAATGGTGTAGATTTTGTTTTGACTGTACCAGATGTTGAGGGAATCTGCTTGGCTATTTTAGGACCTGGAGGAGAGGATGGGATATCTGGTGGGCGATTGTCTAATGGCTGCAGCGTTCATGTCCTACATGGGGCCCTTCCTGTCCAACTACAGGGATGAGATGGTCCAGAAGATCTGGCTTGTCGAGGTGAGTAACAGAATAGTTTTTTATGGAGATGTACGTTTCAGAAAAATAGTGTTATATGAAAGAGAGTAGCGTGCTTCTACCAGGGATCGAAAATGTGATCCCAGACTTCCCACTTGGACGATCTACCACTGAGCTAAAGGGAAATTCCCTCTACCACTGAGCTAAAGGGAAATTCCCTCTATTACTGAGCTAAAGGGAAATTCCCTCTACCACTGACCTAAAGGGAAATTCCCTCTACCACTGAGGTAAATGGAAATTCCCTCTACCACTGAGGTAAATGGAAATTCCCTCTACCATTGAGCTAAAGGGAAATTACCTCTGGCTTGAAGTTAAAAGGCGTCCATAATCCTGTGTATGATTGAAATCTGCCTCACTACTCCCCCCTTTTTAAGTGTACTTGCCCTTGAACACCACAACAACCCAGGATCTAACTCCATGTCACCACAGGGAGGGCCACGGACACCATTTGTAACATGAAGAGAATAGTGTGCTTCCACTGGGGATCGAACCAGCATATTGAACATCGATCCCACTCGGGATTCCCTCTAGTGTGAAGCTAGAAAGCTGCCCCTCTGTACAATTAAAATCTGCCACAATAGTATACAGGAATAAACACACTGTTAGCTTAAAGTGTTGCTTAACTATCAGGCAGCATGCATATCTATAGCTGAAACAAACAAAATCATTAAATATGTGTTGATATATTACTGGATAAGATGTTGAACTATAGTACTTATATCTATATTTCAACTAGAGTAAAGAACAAGGTTAGTTACAAAATATCAATCTTCTTTGTAGAGCCACATCACTTAGGCATTTGACTAAGTTCACTTCCGGTTTTGAGGGCTGAAAAACGTCAGAAAATATTTATTCTGTTAATGTCATGTTTCTGTTAATATCACGTTTTTCTCTGACAAATGGGAAGTGATATTAAGAGAAATCTACTGTACAAGGCTAGCTGGTGATGTAACAAATAACTAGTTATCTTGAAAGTATTAACGCTTAGTTGATGATCACTATTATGTATTTGTATTGTGAACAAAATTGAATTAACTCATTCACCCTGAAATTTTATAATGAACTATTCCAGCCTTTGAATTGGAAGAGTTCAAAAGTGTCTTCAGGGTTGAATGAATTAAGACTTTTGAAATTTAAAAAACAATACTGGTTTCTGAGATTACAATTGATACTTTCTTGGATCTTCTTAAATTCAGATATCAGTCACAAACTGCAGGTCTTGATGTTTATTTTGCCAAAAATCACCTGTTCTCAATAAAGTAATTTGTGTGAACAACATGATGAGGAAAGATCAGTATAATCACATATCATGTAATTGATTGATGCTTTTCGTTACAGATCAGGAAACTAGCAATACCGTGCGCACCTGATTTCAGCTTCTGCAATTTCATGGCTAAACCCACAGACGTTCGTGACTGGAACATCAAGGGCCTGCCCAATGATAACTTTTCGTCGGAGAACGGTGTTATTGTCACTTCTGCCAGTCGATGGCCTCTCATGGTTGACCCCCAGGGTCAGGCGATCAAGTGGATCAAAAACATGGAGGCTGAACACGTAAGCGTGGCAACAAAGTAGTCGCGTAGAAATATTGTTGTTTCTCCCTATTTAAGGAACAATTTAATAAGTAAAATAAATAGACAGATTTTTTTCAGTACTGAGTTCAGCTCCAAATTACGAAGTTTTGTTGAATGGGTTTGGTCAGTGTTTGTGTCTCATGTTCAGTAACAGAACAATGTTTTGTTTTAAGTTAAGCCATCTTGATATCTTGATATTTTGTTATGTTTCCATACTCATGTGTTATAATATTCATCTTTAATTCACTCATGAATACATAATTCTTTAAAAAAAAAAAAAAAATCCAGAATCACAGTACTCGGTAAAGAGTACATGTCACTACATGCTATTTACTATTGTGCCTAATTCAGAAACAAAGTTATGTTGTTTTGCATTCATTTAGCTAATTTGCTTATGTCAGAGTCAAAAATTGACATACATTTTTTTTGAGATGGAGACAAAATTAGGGGGGGGGCTTAATTGCAGGCACCCCACCCTGTTCCCAGGACATTTACCAAAGTGGGGAGGGGGCTTATTTGCGAGAGGGGTCTTACTTGCGGTCAAATACGGTATATCGAATAGGGCAGAAGGTGAAAACTTCCAACTGTGTGTCTGGTATACAGAAACACTGTGTTGTAAATCTGTAAGTGTACATGTCTGTGTCTAATGCGTTTTATGTAGAAGTAACAAATCACCTGATTGATTGATTGATTGATTGATTGATTGATCGATTGATCCGCTTCACTACCGAGTATTTCGGTTATACAGCAGACGACACACATCACTTGATTGATTGATTGATTGATTAGTTTCATCCGCTTCACTACCGAGTATTTCAGTTATCTAGCAGACGACACACATCACTTGATTGATTGATTGATTGATCGATTGATCCGCTTCACTACCGAGTATTTCGGTTATACAGCAGACGACACACATCACTTGATTGATTGATTGATTGATTGGTTTCATCCGCTTCACTACCGAGTATTTCAGTTATCCAGCAGACGACACATATCACCTGTACATGTTGTATGTGTCTTGGTTTATCTTTATTTTTATGTGTCCACACAGGGTCTGAAGGTGATAGATCTACAACAGTCGGACTACATGAGAACCCTGGAGGCATCGATACAGTTCGGTCTGCCTGTGTTACTACAGAACGTCCAGGAGTCACTTGACCCCTCCCTTGACCCCATCCTGAACAAGTCACTCATGAGGGTTGGTGAGTAAAGCAATGTTTAGACCTTTCTTATTGCATTAAAAATTTGAATTCTGGAAAATTTCTTTCCAGTCATATTTACGCAAAAAAATGTTATGTATACAATATGTTGGGTCAACGTTTTGAGTTTGGGGAGCTCGCCAGCTGTGATGGTGAGGTGTTGATCCGTACGGTGATATTGCAAAAATTACGCTAGCCAGAACATATGTTTCCCTTCGCTTTATTTACCGGAAATAACAACATCGCAACTGATAGTGATAAAATTGACAAAAGAAGCCAGTCTCCGAACAGGAGATCCGGAATTAAAAACAAAGCTGAATTCCGTACCAGTATTCTGGAATAACGTTAGTAATAGAAATGTTTACTTTTACCAGGTGGAGCATACCTCATCAAGCTGGGAGACAAGGAGATAGAGTATAATCCGGACTTCCGCTTCTACATCACCACCAAGCTGAGTAACCCCCACTATACCCCGGAAATCTCCACCAAGACCACCATCACAAACTTCGCCGTCAAGGAACAAGGTGAGGAATGGTCGTACAAGTCATAGGTCAAAACTGAGTCTCAAATGACCACATTCCGTTCAAATTTAGTCGGACATCAAGTGTAACATGGTCAGGACATTTCTTGACCAAACATTTAATAACAGTGGTTAGTGGTTAGCTGTTATTACATTCATTACAAAGAGTTTACATGAATCAGGGTGTCCACGTATATGTAGACAAAAGTTTGTCAAGACTACTTCTCTTGAAATGCTGCTCAAATATCAAAAAGACTCTGTACATTTTATCTGTATGCAAGTTAGTTGATCGATATGCAATTTTGATTTTTATGCCCCCGCCAAGAAATAGGCTAGCTGATTCTTTCCCCGGGGAAGAAATATCCCCCCCCCCCTCCATAGTAGTGTTTGTTAATGGGGGATATTGGTGACTAGCCAATACTTTCCCTACTCTGTAATAGTTATTAGAGGGGAAACTATTGGCTAGCTGATTCTTTCCCCCTCTCGGTGTAAGCAACTAGGGGGAAACTATTTGCTAGCTGATTCTTAAACCTATTGTCTAGCTGATTCTTTCCCGCTCTGTAATAGTTACTAGGGGGAAACTATTGTCTAGCTGATTCTTTCCCCGCTCTGTAATAGTTTCTAGGGGGAAACTATTGGCTAGCTGATTCTTTCCCTGCTCTGTAATATTTACTAGGGGAAGCTATTGGCTAGCTGATTCTTTCCCCCTCTCTATGTTAGCAACTAGGGGGAAACTATTGGCTAGCTGATTCTTAAACCTATTGTCTAGCTGATTCTTTCCCCCTCTCTATGTTGGCAACTAGGGGGAAACTATTGGCTAGCTGATTCTTTCCCCGCTCTGTAATAGCTACTAGGGGGAAACTATTGGCTAGCTGATTCTTCCCCCCTCTCTATGTTAGCAACTAGGGTGGGGGGTGGGGGGGTAGGGGGGGTGGGGGGGAACTATTGGCTAGCTGATTCTTTCCCCGCTCTCTGTATTAGTAACTAGGGGGAAACTATTGTCTAGCTGATTTCTTCCCCCGAGGAAAAAACTATCTTGTGGGGGAAAGAATCAGCTAGCTGATTTTTTCCCCCGGGAAGATATCAGCTAGCTGTTACACCGGATGCTAGTCCTAAGATGTGGGGGTATTAGTTAAAGTAGTAAGGTGTGGTAGTCTGTTACAACCTAAAGTTAAGCATAAGGAGTTTCTTTGGAGCTGTTTAGAAAACAACTTAATTGCTGTGTTGTTTTTGACTAGGTCTCGAGGCCCAGCTGTTGGGTATTGTTGTCCGGAAAGAAAGACCCGACCTTGAGGAGCAGAAGGACAGTCTTGTGAGGAGCATCGCTGCAGGAAAGAAGAAAATTGTGGAGTTAGAGGATGAAATTCTCAGGTACATACATCATGAAACGTGTTTATTTCTGTAATGATGCGGTTTGGAGATACGTCACAGGAGATGTAGCCGATTTTTCTAGAGGGGCTCCAAATAAGGGAATATGATCAGGGAAACTTGGGCTCGTGAGGGGGACATGATGTTTTATTACCCTGTTCTCTGACCAACATATATACACTGTTCTAAAGATGAGGTGAAGTAATATGTTTTGAGAAATTGAACAAAAGTAAGTTTTATAATGTGAACCTTGATATTATTTCTAAAATGTCCTCTCACAGACTTCTGAACGAGACAAAGGGTTCGCTGTTGGATGATGAACAGCTGGTTAACACTCTACAGACTTCTAAGATCACATCTCAGGAGGTGTCTGAACAGCTCCAGATATCTGAGCTGACCGAGGTCAAGATTGACGCAGCAAGAGAGGTGAGTATCATTTTGTCTGTGCACCAAAAGTCCCATTTTGTCTGTTGATCAAAAGTCCCATTTTGTCTGTTGATCAAAGGTCAGTCAATTTACAGTTAAAATCTAGTTTGTCTACAAATATAAATACTCTGACCGTTTTTTTGAAGTATAAATAAAAACAAATTTGATGTGATTGACAAAAAGTATTTAAGTGGTCTGAAACGTTCTCTCCAAGGTTGAACAATTTCAAATTACATTTTTTTGTACAAATCAGACTTAATAAAGATGTATACAAAGATCTTGAAAAAGTTACTGTTAATTAAAGGACCTATTTGAGCACACTCAAATTTTAGCCTTTTATTGAATTTTAACAGATAAGTGCATTGATAAATTGGAACATTTACAATTTCTGCAATAGAAAACTATATGCAGAAATTCCAATTAGCACAATCATAATATAGCACAATATTTAACTCATTCACCCCTGAAATTTTATAATGAACTATTCAGACCTTTGAGTTGGAAGAATTCAAATGTGTCTTCAGGGGTTAATGGGTTAAAGCACCTAACTAAGAATAACACTAAAATATGTTTATAGTACGCTGATCTTATTCAAGCATCCACATGAGTTATTCTGTATGAAGAAACATCATTATCATTATTGTTGTATATGTAATTGTGAGGCAGGGTAGTCTAGTGGTAGGACGCCGGGCTCGTGACCGAAGGGTTGTGGGTTCGAGGCACAGCACTGTGTTTTTGAGCAAGATACTTTACTCTGCTTGTTCCAGTCTATTCAGCTGTAAATGAGTTCATGGTTGGGCAGCGCTAGAATTGTTGAATGCTAGCTGTGAGAGCCGAAATGGCAGCACCGGCTGTATGTTCCCCAAGGAGATGAGAAAGATATTGGCTGGTTGCAAAGGCCTTACGTGTATAACCACGGATAATAATTTGTGAACCGCTTTGAAACGACCGACGAACTAGGTTGTGATAAAGCGGTATATAAGAACCTCAAATTATTATTATTATTTATTATTATAAAGTGTAAAAGGCTTTATAGATATAGTTTGTTGAATTCAAACAATTTATGTCTGATATTCTACAGGGATATCGACCATCTGCTGAGCGAGCTTCCATCTTGTTTTTCGTGCTGAACGACATGGGACGAATTGATCCTATGTACCAGTTCTCACTGGATGCCTACATCGAACTCTTCATCATCTCGATAGACAAGAGTCCTCGCAGCAGTAAACTAGAGGAGAGGATCACCAACCTTAATGAATACCATACCTACGCTGTGTACAGGTAATTGATGTACGGTGTCGGACAATAAGCCCACGCCTGGTAATTATCCAATGCCAACACCCTACTTTGTTATTTGCATCTCCTGGCTAAATCAGGTTTATTAATGTATCTATAATATGTACATGTAAATGACATGCCTTCACTTTGTGCAGGTAAATTGCATGCCAACAGTTAAATAGATAACATATATCAAAATTGTTTTTTTTGAAATTTTTATAATACATGTAAGTGTATGTCTGTTCGGAACATCAAATTGTTATCAAATGACCAATGGTTTTTCTTTGATGTTGTGTTTGTAGATACACATGCCGAGGACTATTTGAGCGACACAAGTTGTTGTTTTCCTTCCAAATGTGTGCCAAGATCCTTGAGTCAGCCAACAAGATCAACATGGACGAGTACAACTTCTTCTTGAGAGGTGGTGTGGTACGTTATATCATACAGCACTTACAGTACACTATGGTTAGGCAGTAAGCTGAAGTTAGGAAATTCTGCTATGAAAACCAATATATATTGACATAGGCTCGATACCAGGAGTGTTTGATTCTGTTCCTAATAATTTATGTTAACAGTGTCCTAGAAATTTAGCATTCTATTCCTTATCAACTTTGTATGTCAAGGACAAGGTACTTTGATTTTGTGATTCTTTTCCTGACCATGTATGCAAGCCAAAGTCATAGGAGTTCGATATTCTCTTCCTCATCATGTATGTAGATCAGGGTACCAGAAATTTATGATTCTGCTCCTCATCATATTATGCAAGAAATTTGAGATTGCATTCCGTACTTATCATGTATAAAAATGCATTGTACTAGGAGTTTGTGATTCTGTTTCTATAGTAACGTAAATCAGGGTACCAGAGGATCTTGTTTCAATCATAATTGTTGATTACGTTTTGTCTGTGATTTACAAACACATATCATAGATTGTTTCTGTATTGCTGATCAAGGTTGATTTGTTTGTGCCTAGGTGCTGGACCGGGAGAACCAGATGGACAACCCGTGTTCAGGCTGGCTGTCGGACATTGCCTGGGACAACATCACCGAGCTTGACAAGCAGACAAACTTCCACGGTGTCATCACCTCATTTGAACAATACCCGCGTGACTGGAACATCTGGTACACTTCAGCAGAGCCCGAGACTGCCACACTCCCAGGTACATCCAAAGTCGTAGTTACAATATACAGGGGTCGACACTAACACTAGTCCCCTAGTCCTGGACTAGTAGATTTCAGCAAGGACTAGTGAATCACCTAACCTAACTGGTCCTCTGATTATAAAATAAGAATAATCTGTTTTAAAATTTAGAAAACTACTTAAAATAAGATATATTGCATGATAGTTGTCAAAAGCTTCCTAAAACTTCACCATATTTTTATGGCAGTAGTTATTTTAAGTCCCCCACAGTCAATTACTTTTGATGTGTCGTGCTGTACATCGCGATGTTTCGATCCTTAACAGGAAATCTTGGACTAGTTACATTGACAAAGGACTTATAAGTAACTAGAGTCCTGTGGACTTCCAAGCAAAAAAAGTTTGTGCCTAACCCTGACAATATAGAGATATAGCCAGGATAACTTCAGGTTTTTGTTTTTGAGCAAATACTCATTAAAAAAGTTTAAATGTTTTCCTGAGAGTAAATGTAACCTGAATTTAGTTTTTAAGCCGCTCTTGGCGAGAGCCGAGCGGCTTATTAATTCTGTCCAGAGAACGAAATGACAGACGCACTTCCGTTCAGGGTGCGTGCGCATAATTCAGTATTGCATGCTTCCGCTATATAGTTTCGTTATCGTAAATAGAAAGTAGAATCTCTGACACTCACCTGTGGGTTACATAAAGTCCTCTGATACTCTTCTCCAAATAATAATCCATACTTTAAATAATTGCTGAAAACAAAATGTTTATCTCCGGTGCATTCTACGAGTGTTGTGGTGGTGAAATTCGTGCACTAGGTTTGAGCGTTTTAGCAACTCGGATTGCGGTCTTGGGAGTGTTACGCGTGTGAAACACATATGATTCGAGAAAGCACATGTGAAGACTGTCAAGCATTGACGCTGTCTGTAGAAGGAAGAAGTAAATATATAAACTTATAAACCGTATGAGTGATGAAGTATAAACTCTATTTTGATGTTTGAAACGGTAACGTATATATGCCATATCGTGCTTAGGTTGATAACGGTAGACTAATGGCTCCGAGACGAGACGATATGTGAACTGTGTATGCTTATCAAACATTTTTGTAACACAGCATGCTATTTCTGGTGTATTTATTTTTGAAAGTGAAACAATTTAAGAACATGACACAACTGCCGCTGCTGTTTGATAAGAATTCGCGCCGTGTCAAAATAGTATCCAATCCGGTGTAAGGGAAATAACTCTTACGTTGGTAAAGTCGTATTGTGAAATATAATTCAAATATATTCCAAGAACATTTGTGAGATTTTGTATATTCAATGACGGTAAATATAGTCGCTACAAATATTAATAATTTTCACTAATATGAATAAAAAAAAATAAAAAAATAAAAGGAGTACAATGTCTCTTTTCTCCATGCATGTTTTCCAACTACTGTTAATTATCCTTCATTTCACAAGCAAAAAATGCACCTATTCTTTATTATCCATTCACCGATTGCCATTCTGCACGTAAACGCTCATGTCACATCATTGGAGGATGCTAATTAATGAAAATTACAACAATGCGTCACACTTAAAGAGGGTGAAAAAAGAGGAGAGGGATAAATGTTTTTAAGGCATCATTTAAGAGGTGATTGATTTTGAAAATCCTAAACGCAACATCATCAGATGACCTGATTTTCAATTAGCGGAATACAGAACACATATCTGAGTTATTATAGTAGATTTTTATGCTCAACATGTCACTGACGCAATTAAATTTAAAGTGGTGAGCGGCTGTAATGTCACACTGACATAATTCTAGTTTCTTATTTACTTAAAGAAAATTACAATTTTTTGAATGGATATCTATCGAATTTGAATAACAGTGTTTATTGTGTTTGTAAAGACATCAGATTTGTACTCTTTCATACTCGTGTAATACATAGGCCAACATGCCCAAAGTGTTGAGTTAATGAGTTATATACCCTGGGATTATATATATCTAAACAACATGAGCCTGTTGACATTCAAACATGGCTTTTTCATGAAACAGCAAAATAACAAATAAACAAACAATATCACCTTCCTTTTCGAAAATGTGTCATCAGTAACAATTATATAACCAGCTTGGCAGTGTTTCAAAACGTTCGGGTGAGTGTGTTTGGTTTTTGATATCGGTTGCCGATCAGGGTACACGGTGCATTGAAACGCAAGACGGTCAGTTGTAGAATGATAACCGGTTTGACATGGTAATGCACCTTTTATACCCAGGGAGACCCGTTCCTTTTACCAGGCAAGGGCAAACTAAAAGGTCGGCACTTCCTTAGAAACGATAATCGAAGCAGATGGGGAAGATCTCGAAACCAGAAAAAATTTTAAAACTTGTTTTTTAATCTCTATTGAAAACTTTCTGGCTTGCACTGTCAGCTTTAAGCTTGTGGTTTAGGCCGTTTTCGTTTAAACGGCCAAACTGGTCAGACCACAGTTGTTCGTTTATTAAATAAGGTCGGACCTAGTAATCTGATGCTGCTTTCAGGCGAGCCTTGACAAAGCCTTGCAAGGCCTGCATAAACATTTGCAGGTCCGCCAGGATTTATACCCGAACTTGTTAAATTTATAAATGGTCAAACCGGTTGTTCCGCATAAATGAACAGGCCCTTACTTATTTATTTATTTACAACCGAATCGTCTGTAGGAGTTACTCCCCTTGTGTCACTATTTCTGTAACTACTTCTACTGTATATAGTTTATGTGTGTTTGTAATTCTGGCTAGGAGAGGACTAATATAGGCATAGCTAGCCTGTTGTCCAATCCTTTTGATTTTTCAATAAAATTTACTGAAATGAAATATCGCCTTCCTGTCCAGGTGAGTGGGACAATGCCTGTAACGAGCTCCAGAGGATGCTAATTGTCCGCTCACTCAGATCTGACCGTGTTTCCTTCTGTGCCACATCCTTCATCATCAACAACCTGGGGTCAAAGTTCACCGAACCGCCAGTACTTGATATGCAACAAGTTGTAGAGGACTCGACGACGAGGACCCCGCTAATCTTTGTCCTGTCCGCTGGTGTGGTATGTATATGCCTGTCACCTTCCTTAATTTTTCTGTCTCAGAATTTGTCCTGATTTCTTCCATTTTTGATTTTGTTTTTAAAATTGGATTTCACAAATTGCTGATAAAATTTACAAACTGAAGAAACAATGCACGCTTGGCTCTGGTTACTGATATCAGACCAAGACGTCAATCCTATTATGGAATTACTCCATACTTACCCAAGGAATACATTTGAGGTACTGCAGCAGTTGAGATATTTTGTAACAAGTTAATGGTAATTTAAGGATGTAGACAAACACCTAGAGATCACATGATGATGTTGTTATTCAAATGAAACCTCTGCTATCTGACCCTCAAGTAGGTTTACATCATGTCCAAACCAACATAATAAAACTACGTAATAAGAAATAAGACTTTTGTATCCTGATGTCCTGTCTAATCTGACCAGTATGATGTGTCCCACAGGGTGTCAGATTAGACAGGCTTATCTGATCAATATGATGTTTCTGACAGGGTGTCAGATTACTCAGGTTAATCTGACAAGTATATTGTATCCCACAGGGTGTCATATTAGACAGGTTAATCTGACCAGTATATATCCCACTAGGTGTCAGATTAGACAGGTTTATCTGAACAATATGATGTGTCCCACAGGGTGTCAGATTAGACTGGTTAATCTGACCAGTATATGTCCCACAGGGTGTCAGATTAGACAGGTTAATCTGACCTGTATGGTATGTCCTACAGGGTGTCAGATAAGACAGGTTTCATTCAAGATATCAAGTTGTGTAAGATGTGTTCCAATATTAAGAACTATTAGATGACACACATTTTTCCTACACCCTTACTGGTTGGATTTTAATCACATGGAGGTCGGTTATTTGTGATATCAACTCCTTGTTACTATTTTTAGAAATCTCGAGTCATTCTATTTATGACGTCATTTCTCATAAAATAATTTTGTAATGTAACAATGCTCTCTGCTAATTGAAGTAATTTTCTCTGTGCAACTTTCATACATTCCCTCTTGTTTTATGATAAAAATGTTATATAGCATCTCAGGTTCGATCATATAACCACATATTCACCTTAACTAAAATCCATAGTTGATAAATTTTCAAGAAATATTCATTATATGTGTGTGAATTATGGTGAAATATGTAACGAGGGTGAGAACATGTTACACATTTTTTATCCTAAGGCTATTTCAGTACTGTAGATTTATATAAAAAAATACTTGTTTGGGACAAAAGGGTGAAGGATCTCCATAGAGTCCTGTTTTATATAATCCTATGATGTTATTGTATTCTAGGATCCGACAAGCTCTCTGCTACAGCTGGCTGAATCCAGCGGGATGGCGCAGCGCTTCCATGCCCTTTCCTTGGGGCAAGGACAGGCTCCCATAGCAACCAGGATGATTAAGGAGGGTGTGAGAGAGGTAAGGGGTCTACAGATGTGAATCGAAAAGTGTATAAATAAGATTGCGTTAAGGGAAACTATGCAGATATATTGTACATGTATGGTCGTTTTGATGGGGAAATATGAAGATTTGTTTACCTAGATGAGGCCTGAAGCAGTGAGAAATATCATTGGAAATTTCAAACTGAGCTGCAGGGACATTTCTTGTAATACTAAGTTAGAAGGTGACTGTAACTGAGTTAGTATTAAACATGCATTTCACACGCATCAATACCTACAAAATATGTACACTTCTATATTTTTAATTATAATGATCCTTACTTTAATTACAGGGTAACTGGGTGTTCATTGTAATAATGATCCTTACTCTAATAACAGGGTAACTGGGTGTTCATTGTTATAATGAGCCTTACTTTAATTACAGGGTAACTGGGTGTTCATTGTTATAATGAGCCTTACTTTAATAACAGGGTAACTGGGTGTTCATTGTTATAATGAACCTTACTCTAATTACAGGGTAACTGGGTGTTCATTGTTATAATGAGCCTTACTTTAATTACAGGGTAACTGGGTATTCATTGTTATAATGAGCCTTATTTTAATTACAGGGTAATTGGGTGTTCTTGGCCAATTGTCATTTGTCCTTGAGTTGGATGCCACAGTTGGATAAGTTGGTGGAACAGCTACAGATTGAACAGCCTCATCCTGAGTTCCGTCTGTGGTTGAGTAGTAGTCCCCACCCCGAGTTCCCGATCTCCATCCTACAGACCGGCATCAAAATGACCACGGAGCCTCCCAAGGTTTGTGAACTTTGTCAGCCATAGAGATGAAACTGTGTATATAATCCTTGATGAACTTATTGATAACATGATGTTCAAACCAAAGGGATTTTGATTGTAAGGTATTGTATGGTCTGAAGGCCGACATGAAGTTTAAACCAATAGTTAAGTAATCTTTCAAGTGAAAGAGACTATGATCATTGGGTATTGTAGGGTCTGAAGGCCGACATGAAGTTTTTAAGTTTTAACTAATAGTTAAGTGTTCTTTAAGATGACACAGATTTTGATTGTTGGATATTGTAGGGTCTGAAGGCTGACATGAAGTTTTTAAGTTTTAACTAATAGTTAAGTGTTCTTTAAGATGACACAGATTTTGATTGTTGGATATTGTAGGGTCTGAAGGCCAACATGAAGCGTCTATTGAACCTGGTCACGGAGCAGCAGTTTGCCCGCTGTACGAAGCAGGAGAAGTACAGGAAACTGCTGTTTGCACTGTGTTACTTCCACTCCATACTGCTGGAGCGTAGGAAGTTCCTCATGTTGGGTTGGAACATAGCCTACGAGTTCAACGACGCTGACTTTGAGGTTTGTCATGTTTCTACCAGATCTATAGACTGCACACAATTAGTATGTTTAAATATCTACACCCGAGGAAACCGCTACATGTGAAGCGTGCTTTTGGTAAAAGTGTATGATAATTATATCGCCTAGCAAAATCATTCATGGTTACGGTAAGGATTCTGTAAGTACAGCAGACACTTTGGTCATACATGTGTCTGCTTTTGACATAAGGTTGATAAAAACTTTTGTATTCATTTTCTATTGTTTTGTATGGTTTTATTGTTTTAGTGTCTCTGCATGTATGAGATGTGTAAGGAGGCTGAACTTGATTGTATCGTATACTTGACAATGTTGTAGGTGTCTGAGAACCTCCTCAGTATATATCTAGATGGCTATGATGATACACCTTGGGATGCTCTGAAATATCTCATCGCCAACATCAATTACGGAGGTCATGTGACAGATGACTGTGATCGTCGTCTGCTCATGACTTATGTCTCCGACTACTTCCATGATAGCGTACTCAGCACTCCGTTCTACAAGTAAGTTTTTATATATCTGTACTCAGCACTCCGTTCTACAAGTGAGTTTATATATATCTGTACTCAGCACTCCGTTCTACAAGTGAGTTTTAAATATATGTACTCAGCACTCCGTTCTACAAGTGAGTATATATATATCTGTACTCAACACTCCGTTCTACAAGTGAGTATATATATATCTGTACTCAGCACTCTGTTCTACAAGTGAGTATATATATATCTGTACTCAGCACTCTGTTCTACAAGTGAGTTTCTATAAATCCGTAAATTGAATCTCTTCCACACTACAGAGTTACATTTCTTTGCTAATTTTTATACTGAAGCAAATTGTATTGTTTAGTCCTCCCAGTATTTATTTCCCACACTGGGACTATATAGGGCTATTCCTTATTTCCCACAATTAGACTATTTTGGGCTACTGCTTATTTCCCACACTGGGACTATATAGGGCTATTCCGTTATTTTCCACACTGGGACTATATAGGGCTATTCCTTATTTTCCACACCTGGATTATACAGGGTTATTCCTTATTTCCCACACTGGGACTATATAGGGCTATTCCTTATTTCCTACATTGGGACTATATAGGGCTATTCCTTATTTCCCACACTGGGACTATATTGGGCTATTCCGTATTTCCCACACTGGGACTATATTGGACTACCACTTATTTCCCACACTAGGACTATAAAGGGCTACCAATTATTTCCCACACGCTGGGACTATATGGGGTTACTATTCATTTGCTACATGGGGACTATATTGGGCTACAACTTATTTCTCACACTGGGACGTATATGGGGCTACAACTTATTTCTCACACTGGGACTATATATGGGGCTACAACTTATTTCTCACACTGGGACTATATGGGGCTACAACTTATTTCTCACACTGGGACTATATGGAGCTTCTAGTTATTTCCCACTTTGCATGGATAATAGCATAATGTTTCATATCCTCAATATTTCCATATCACTGATTGTATGAATACATGTTAAACTAGGATGTCCATCTTGCCGACCTACTACGTGCCTAAAGACGGACCTCTGTCCTCCTACAAGGAGTATGTCAGCATGTTACCCAATGTCGACCACCCAGAAGCCTTCGGTCAACATCCCAACGCCGACATTGCTTCTCAGATCACTGAGACCCGCCTCATGTTTGACACCCTTCTGTCCCTGCAGCCAACCATCAGTGCTGTTGCAGGCGAGAGTCGTGAGGATAAGGTCGGTACTTTTTACGTTAGCTGTTTGCGATATAAAATTGTCTGTATATAATGTCGAGGTAGAAATTAAGATGCCCTACAGATGACTTTATGTTTGAATTAAGAAATGTAATCTTTTCATTTATATTTCAAAATTGAAATGATATCTTTGATGATTGAACCTACATGTCACCCTGTGAACCCTCCTTGGAGGAATTTGTCCCTTCAAGCCCGTGAGGGGGATAATAAAGCACAGACACGTTTTGTGGCATTTCTCCAGTTCGGTAAGGAAAACATTGAATTGTTATCCTTATACTGCAGACCATTGTCAAGCCAGGTCACTCCGTCCATACACTGTACAAGTTAGACTCAGCATTTAACTTGATACTTTAAAGGAGTAATGATGGAAGTCTAACGGGTCTTAAGCTTCGTACATGGACAAATTCTGAGGATTAATATATTTCTAAATCAATCTAGTATATTTTCACCACTGAAATATCATGAATTGTTCATTAGATAAAAATTTATGAAGATATGTGAAATGTTAAATCCTCACATATTAAGATATCTAATTCAATATTGTCCAATCAGAATTGTGCTTTCTATTCACTGCGATGATTTTCACTTTCAAGTTCAGATGAAGCGACAGCAGATTAAGTGGTTGTTTTGGTACACCTTTGCAACATACATTATGGAATTTATATAACTATACAATTGATATAATTTTTTGTTTGAAAATCTTACAAAATAATAGCAGCAAACAACAGGATTGCTTTTGAGTAATCAATTCAAAATGGCACTCTGTCTTGTTGTCAAGTGTGAGGTCATAAGAATTTTGCATCAAATATTATGCGACCAACTCCCATGATTTTTTTCCGCGGCAATATTTTTGTCATGTTAATTTAAAAAAAAAAAAGTAACATATAGAAAATTTAATGGTTTTCCCAATAAACCATCAAACATCCTCTTATATATGACTGTGACCAATATTTTACGCTTAACTGTCTTTGAGTAGACTTTGCATTTATAGTTCCATTTTTATCAAAGTTCGTAGTATTGGAGGCATTTTATAGTTATCAGTGTTTTATTGCTGATGTTGCCAGGTATTGGATCTAGCCGCCAACATCTACAAACAGATCCCAGAAAACATCGACTACGAGAACACGGCCAAGATTCTCTCTATCGACCCCTCGCCTCTCAACGTTGTTCTGCTACAGGAGGTAGGTTCCATATAAGTGCCGGTGTGATACAGAATTAATCTCCGTTTAAAATCATTCATGGAATACATTTTGTTTATAGAAAATCACCATTTCTTGTGTTAAGATTTCAAAATGACATCAACTTTTTCTTAAACAAATTTTGATTCCACAGATATTTTGTTTGAATTTTTTTTCGTTCCGTAGAACTTAAAAAATGTAGACATGGAATGATGTACAATTCATTCGGTTTTTATTACCAAACAATTTTGGTGGAAATTGGAAATTAATTTCATTTGTAGAGTAAAATAACCATTAAGGTAAAAGGATTGTGTCGCCATTTCTCAGTAGAATTTATTCAAATTTTGTATTTATATAAACTGCTTTGAAGTAAAGAAAATTTTCTGCCAAAAAAAAATATAGGTTGTCAAAATTTTAAGGATTTTAAATGGAAATTTATGTAAAAAGGACTGAATTTTGAAAAAAGAATTGAAACACATTTTTTTGCAAAATAATGTCAATGAAAATGATATTAACATAGATTAGTATTACATTGATGTGTATTAATTTCATAAATGCTGAAATTGTGTAAAATTAATCATCTATAAACGATTAAAAATGGACATTTTATAATAAAACCATATACACATAGTAAATGCATGCAAGAGTTATCGTTCTTGGAAAACTTCACAGTAGTGAAATAGGTAGCCGGTTTCCTGAATACAGAAAAATGGACACATGTGACTCATTGATCAAAAAACAACTGAATTAATGCCTGGGTTGCTTTGCAATACTTTAATATTGAAAGAACACACTGTTCTGTCAATAATAAGCATACAATATTCATCAGTTTAATAGTAAACATTAGAATATGCGGAAATTGTGATACTGTCTCCCTACATTGGATTTTCAACTAGGGATGTACTTCCTATTTCCGTTTAGCAATACACTCCTATGACCTTAAACACAAAATGACTGATTTTCCATGCAACTGCATTGATGTCTTTAGTGACATCAATAACTCGGACTGATGCAATTTTGACCTTTAAAATTCTACACCCAACGTTTCCAGTGATAACTATAACTGCACATCGTTATTAAATCATACGACAAGATTGTGGAGTGCAATGGCGTTGTTTCTTCAATGGATGCTGCTCGGTTCCTTGGCCCCTTGTCTGGATACCTGATAGATCATGTCCATAATTGTCCTCGTAAGCACCCTGGGCAATCTAAAAACTTTAGAGAGTTTGAATGATAGATGAACATTTTAATATTCCTAAAATAGCCAAAATATAGTTTTTTTTTCCAAATAAGTTGGTAAATTTTGGTGAAGGGTTGAGACATTTGGATAAAAAAATTTGTTGGGGGCACCTTTTTATTTTTAAGGGATGTTTTTTTTTAGGTGGAATGCAGTATCTTAAGTTGTATATGGATCAATTACAACAAGCAAATCTTGACACTCACACAACTCGAATTTTCTCTCCTTAGATTCAACGTTACAATATTTTATTGGATGAGATTCGATCGTCCTTGACTGACCTTGAAAGAGGCATCCAAGGTCTTGTTGTGATGACACTGGAGTTGGAGAACATTTTCACGTGTATCTTTGATGGCAGAGTCCCTCCTAGCTGGCTCAAGGTAATAAATATAGCTAGCATCATTAGTCCCTCTTAACTGGCTCAAGGTAATAAATAAAGCTAGCATCATTAGTGTCAAATAAAATGTGCTCATTAAATAAAAATACAATATAATATTCTTATGCTAATTGCATAACTTATTGCTAAAGCCGCAAAGATAATTCAGTATTTTATATATATTTTAAATTTTGATTGGACATATATCAAACTGTTTGTGAATAAAACATAACTAGGGTTTGTGTTTGCCCTTCATGATTGAATAAAAAAATTCTCTAATTTTTGTTCGAATTTGTTGTTTGATGAATTGTGGGTAAATGTGTTTTTGTTTTCTAATGTTAGGCCTACTCATCGCTGAAGCCATTGGCTGCATGGACACGTGACTTGGTGCAGCGTGTCGACCAGTTCCAGCACTGGGCTCTCACAGCTCACGCGCCGACCATCTTCTGGATGTCAGCGTTCACCTTCCCGACTGGATTCCTGACTGCTGTCCTGCAAACTTCTGCACGTCAGAACAGCGTAAGTAAAGTGTTATGATGAGAGTTTCATGTTAAGAACCCTTCAAATAAATATCCTCTGTTTGCAGTTAAATCTAATTTGAACATGTATAGTTAATTAATGGTTCATGCTTACTAGCCAAACACAAGTCTTTTATAAAGGAACATAATGTAATACAAATTACTGTATTAGTATTAATGTTTAATGATGAAATTGTAGTTGATGAAAAAATTGTAACAATATGTTTTTACGTAATGTAATATACTAGTAAAGTGAAAATGACATAACAGTTCAGGATGTTATGGTATGATCTGGGATATCGGCACATGTGAAATGCTAGGTTCTTTCTGTTAATTCTAGACATGAAATAAATAGAATTTTTTTTTGAAAACATCATTCGATGAAATATGAAATAAATGGACAGAACAAGAAATCTTAAGTAGCGTATACGTATTGGTTGCGTAGTAAGCTAGAAACTGACCTATGTGTCCCTTTACAGGTTTCTGTGGACACTCTACAGTGGGAGTTCAGTGTACTCACCGTTGACGATACCAACATCACCGGCCCTCCTAAGGTAATGTGACTTATTCCTGTGACTTTAACCAATTTTTCTTATCCCCTCACAAGGAAAGTTCAAGGGGATATAGGATCCCGTATGTACGTACGTATGTACGTACGTATGTACGTACGTTAATTACACTTTTTATCATCCCTCTAGCGACTTCATTCCTCAAAGGAATTTAATGAAACTTCATACAAGTGTGTAGTATGACAATACCTTGAACAAGTTTGCGTTTCGAGTTTCTACGTCTAAGGTCTAGGTGACTGTTACTTTTTTTAGAAAAACTTTGTCCTCACTTTACCAACTTCATTCCTCAACAAAATTTTATGAAGCTTGATGCAAGTGTTTGGTATTGTAATGCCTTGAATAAGTTTGCGTTTCGTGTTTCTATGTTGAAGGTCATGAAGGTCACTGTTACTATTTTTAGAAAAATATCTTTGTCATCGCTATAGCGACTTCATTTCCTTTTACATATGTCACAATGTGTGAATGCGAGGGGATTTGTATGACTTGTGATGCCTCGTTACGTTAGGGTTGTCGACGGTTAGTCAGTTACTCTGTCAGAAGCTCCTGAATCGGTTACCGAAATCTTTATCCAAACAGTGAGACATTTATTTACGTCATTGAGAGCCCCAGGTTTACCTGGGTTATTCCTACAAATTACCTAGCGACTGAGCTCAAACGTCTTTGGTAATAAAAGCAGAACGTTTTGGGTGTGGTTTTTGTGCCCGATAGTAATGATATACTGACAACACTAAAAAGCCTGAACAGGTTTTAATAGGGAGCTAGATTACAAAGGTCTGAAAGGCCAACTTCGCGATGTGAAACTCGCTTTTACAGGTCAGGCGTAAAATGATCTTGGGGGAAACACAATTGAATGCCATCATTGAATCATCAAAAATGACAATTGCAATCACCTACGAGACAGTTTGTCAGTCAATTCATGTTTCTTAGGGACGACATTACAGCATTTGAGTTGGAGAAGAAATAACTTGTATTGTATCGGTTTTATTCTGACCGACGTTTTCATTGAAACGTAAATATTGAGGTGACATGTATGTATTTCCTGCATATAGGTGTTTAAAGTTTGAAACACACAAGTAAAGTGGTGTGTTAATATAAATATATATGAAATATTATACGTTTTGAATAGAAAATCTGCTAAACATAATGTATTTGTTGTTGTTGATAGTTTGATTACGAAACTGATCGATTAACCAGTTCCTTGTTTGGAAGATATTTTGGGTAACTGGTTACTTAGGTTTTGTCGAGTTTGCCAACCCTAATTTATACAGATAAAACAAATTGTTTGTACATTATTATTAATACAATGAGTAGACCTGTAAAGTTCTGTAGCACTACAGAAGAAAATAAATAATTTTCCCAGAGCTTTAATCAGTTTTCTGGTAGTCTAGTGGTAGGACGCCGGGCTCGTGACCCAAGGATTGCGGGTTCGAGTCACGTCTAGGCACTGTGTTGTATCTTTGAACAAGATACTTTACTCCGCTTGTTCCAGTCTACTCAGCTGTAAATGAGTACGTGGTTGGGCAGTGCTGGAATTGTTGAATGCTAGCTGTGAGCGCCGAAATGACAGCACCGGCTGTATGCTCCCCAGGGAGTTGAGAAAGACATTGGCTGGTTGTAAAGGCCCTATAACCACGGATAATAATTTGTGAACCGCTTTGATACGACCTACGAATTAGGTTGTGATAAAGCAGTATATAAGAACCTCGAAATATTATTATTATTATTGATATTTTTTGTAAATTTATATTCACATTTTTAGCTCACCTTATGCCATACCGTGGCATCTGTCGTCCGTTCGTCGTACATTCGTACGTCAACAATTTCTTTAAAAGACTTCTTTTTCTTAACCACTGATTGGAATTCAACTAAATTTGATTGGAAGCATCCCTAGGTGGTGGGGATTTAAAATTGTACAAATGGTGGGGCTGACCCCCCAGGGGGCTGAGGGGTGGGGTCAAAAGGGGGCAATTTGGCTATATTGCTACAAAATCGACTTCTGTAGAACTGTGCATGCACTGGATATCAATCATATTTGATCAAAAGCATTCATGGGAGGCAGAGATTCAAAATTGTACAAATGTTGGGGCTGACCTCCCGGCTAGGTTGTGGGGCCAAAAAAAATGTATTCCTTGGAAATGGTTGAGATCCCCACCGTATAACCATATATACAATTGCTGAGTAGAAAGAGAAGAATCCATATTTGCTTCTAGGATGGCCCTTGGGTCCGGCCCCACCCCTGGAGACATAGTCCCTGGGTCATAACTTTGAAACGGTTGAGATCCCCACCCCAAAACTATATATACAAATGCTGGGCATAAAGAGAGAATGTAGTCATGATAATAGAATAGACCCTGGGGTCTGACCTAACCCCTAGGGACCTAGTTTCTTAGTCACAGCTTGGAAACAGTTGAGATCCCCACCTTATAGCCATATATACAATTGCTGAGTATAAAGAGATGAATGCATATATGCTTCCAGGATGGCCTTGGGGTCTGCCCCACCCCTGGAGACTTAACCTCTGGGTCATAACTTAGAAATGGTTAAGATCCCAACCCCAAAACTGTATATACGATTGTTGGGCATAAAGAGACGAATGCAGTCATGATACAAATGTATTAGAATTGACCCCAGGTTCTGCCCCAATCTTGCAGACGTAACCCTTGGGTCATAACTTAGAAACGGTTGAGATCTCCACTCCAAAACTATAAATACAAATGCTGGGCAAAAACAGACAAGTGCAGTTATGATATTAGAATTGATCTTTGGGTCTGCTATACAGATATGCTACAAGGATTGGCCTTGGGGTCTGGCATATTCCCTTGGATCTCATTTGGAAATATTTTGCCATGATTGCTTAGATATCTTGTTTGTCATTAAAATGTTTCCTCACATATCTTCATCTGTCTAAAATGTTTCTGCACAAAGGAAAGCAATAGTCTTTCTAAACATGGCAGATCTAATTAGTTGTCAGTCTTTCATAAAAAATAAACCGTCTATCATTTGTTCACCTTTGGTTTTTGTGAAATTATATTTTTACTCCCTCAGAACTTACGTGAGTTTGTATGTGATTTGTTTCTGTTCCAGGATGGTGTATACATTAAGGGACTCTATCTCCAGGGTGCAGGATGGGACAAGAAAAACACGTGTCTAGTGGAAGCCAACCCCATGCAGCTTGTCTGTCCTATGCCCTCCATACACTTCAGAGCTGTGGAGAGCAAGAAGAAGGCAGCTAAAGGTAGTTAGGCGCGGTTTTATCAGTATTTTATTTGATCATACTATAAATAGGAACAAAAGAGTTTAAAAATTCCTAGCTCCATTTATTTCAACCCTGTTTCAATGAGACATTGTAAAGAATGTGGAAATTTAGTAATCTGCATTTTTTTACTTGTTCTATAGGAGAGTCCAAAATGATATTTGCTCTTAGAATTTCTGGCCACATTCAATGATAATTTTTCCCTAGGTAAGATTTCTGTGATGCTAAGCGGTGTGGCGAGATTTAGTGATAAGTTTTCTGTGATGCTAAGCCGTGTGGCGAGATTTAGTGATAAGTTTTCTGTGATGCTAAGCCGTGTTGCGAGATTAAGTGATAAGTTTTCTGTGATGCTAAGCATTGTGTTTTTGTCTGCAGGTCTGTATTCCTGTCCTTGTTACTACTACCCTAACCGTGTGGGCGTCACCGGACGCCCCTCTTACATCGTCTCTGTTGATCTAAAGACTGGCGAGAAGGCAGCGGATCACTGGGTAAAGAGAGGAACGGCTCTGTTGATGAGTTTGGACTATTAAGAAGACACTGACCAGTATTTCTTATATGGACTATGAGCAATGGCTTATGTTCGATACTGACCAGTGACTTATGTTGGTGAGCTTTTAAACTTGGTCAAGTGACTTATACCAGGTTTATTGGTAAAGATAAAATGAACAATGATTCTCATAACAAAACGTGTTATTGACCAGTCCTCGCTTCCGACAAGAATTAATAGACGGACACCTTATTTCTGAAGTGTTTCTGTGGACTTTCGTATACAAAAAATGAGACGATGTTGTCAGTATATGATTCTTTACTTGTGGCATGTTGTCTGACCTTGAACTTTGCATACAGGTGTATATGAAAGTGACGGAATACAAACCGAAATTCATCAAAAATATTTCATTGTCCTAAAAACTCATTGTCGTATCTGTTTACTTGTGTTTTATTTTTTGCAATGTTGTCTGACCTTGAACTTTGCATACAGGTGTATATGAAAGTGATAGAATATAGAAACCGAAATTCATCAAAAATATTTCATTGTCCTAAAAACTCATTGTCGTATCTGTTTACTTGTGTTTTATTTTTTGCAGTAAACTACAAATATAAAAATGTTGCAGCAAAGTACTAATTATGATTCAAAAAGAGGTTGTGTGCCAAATATGAAATATTCCAATAATTGTTTTGTACTATTACACTCCCCTTAATTCTTAACCCCATCCTCTCAAAATACAGACATACAAAATGTAATGTACAATTTAGGTTCCTACTTTTGTACTTTTATGGAATATAATAGTTTTTACTAATGAAATATGGAATTATCTTTTTATTAGATTATATGAAATCCATCGGTTTAAGGATGTTGAATATCAAAATGTCTTTGTTCAGTTAGATTTATCTAAAAAAAACTTACGGTATTTTGTTGGGCTAAATTATGAAATCCCTTTGTATTTCTTTGGCTAAATAATGAAATCCCTCTGTTTTCTTTGGCTAAATTATGAAATCCCTCTGTTTTCTTTGGCTAAATTATGAAATCCCTCTGTTTTATTTGGCTAAATTATGAAATCCCTCTGTTTTCTTTGGCTAAATTATGAAATCCCTCTGTTTAATTTGTCTGATCAATGAAATCCCTGTTTTATTTGGCTAAATTATGAAATCCCTCTGTTTAATTTGTCTGATCAATGAAATCCCTCTGTTTTCTTAGGCTAAATTATGAAATCCCACTGTTTAATTTGGCTAAATTTGAAATCCCTTTGTTTTATTTGGCTACATTATGAAATCCGTCTGTTTTATTTGACTGATCAGTGAAATCCCTCTGTTTAATTTGGCTGATCAGTGAAATACCTCTGTTTTACAAACTTAGTTTTGAAATCCGCCTGTTTCATAATTAAAGGCTGATGAGAAATTCCCATGTATGAAGTGAAATTAAGTAATGTCTCTCCTTTTATTATGTTTAATCATCCGTTTGTATAAAGTTTGTTATACAGATCTATCTTATTGTAGCGTAATGCTATTGATTAAGGGAAATGCAGTTTATTTAATTTGTATGGAGCTGGTGAGATTGTTTGAAAAATTTTGTAACTACACAAAGCAATTAAATAACAGATTCATATTTTGAAACCAGAATTTAAAAAAGAAAAATTTAAAAAAAGTTTTTTTTTTATTGTATTGTAGATATATAAATCAGTATATCAAACTGAATTTTAAAGCTCTACAACGAGCTCATCTGTCCAGACACATTTGTCATTGAGTAAAATAAATCACTCATGTATTTGCAAAAATAAATTAAAAAAAAAATCAATAAGAAAAACAATTGTCCTGCTATTATAGTTTTAACAAACCATTGTTGAAATCTCAATTTCATTGCTCCGATAATTTACAATACTTATCTTCAGCAAGTATTGACTTTTCAATTTCAATTTCAATTTCACTAGTTTATTGATATCCATATTCATGAATATGCTGAATTTGAATGACATATTTGGTGTAAAAGTAATAATCCACCATCGATTGCTCAACCATATCTTTTTGATCACTTTCTTAATTTCCACTTTTTTCCTGTGATAATTGAATTTCCTCGCTAAAGTAAAAATTAAAACATGAATTATTCGTTGACAAAATTAAATACTTTGTTATATTATTTTTTGGCGTTTTTTTTTGTAGAGTTCATGGTCAATTTCTATTAACTTCCAACACATTCCACAGAGACAAATCCGTCCATAAAACGGCTCTGTTAGCCGCTGTCTCTGCTTCTGCATCTGAAGCTTCTTTTATATTTGTACATTTCAAAGGGAGAATTTCGTCTAAAATATGATATATTCAGTATTTATTAACATGTATTTGAAAAAAAAAAAATCTCTTTTGAGATTTTTCTTTTGTGATTTATTTATTGCTGAAATTGTTGGTTATTTTTATAATAAATTATTGAAATAAAATATACAGATTTATGTTGTATTTAAGAGCACTATCAGCAGATGATCGGCATATCAACCTGTTTCTCCTCGGTGGTTTTGTGTGTCATTTGACAAGTTTTGGTGCCAATACATCTCAAAAAGCGCTGGATGGATCAAAAGCTGTCATCTTGGGTTAAAACAAGAGATTGTATTCGTCCAGTGTTTCTCAAGCAACCTTTTTAGGTTACCTGACCAAAAGGCTCAAGTGATCTATTCAGAGCACCTTTCTTCCGTTTTCCTGCATCATCCTTTATCTTTTCACATTTGACTTCTTTTAAAGAACACATGGATGCTTTTTTTTCCAAACTTGATGAGAATCATCCTGGGTAGGAGAGGGTACCAAATTTGTGAAATTGGAATTCCTGCCCCCACCCCAGTGGCCGGGCGGTGCCCAGACTCAGATGTACTACAGTCAAACTCATCTGCATGGGTGGAACAATCATCAAGGGCTTTATTTAAATTATTAATTTCAGTAGCCCCGGACCATCCGTTTTCTGTTGGGGAGGGCGTAAAGTTTACTATAGTTTATATAGGGAAATATCATTTTGGGTATATTTTGTCTTTTTTCAGTTAAAAAATATTCAAACTTGGTGATAATCATCCTTGGAGAAGAGTGTATCAAACAGTAAAGTTAGGACTCCTGCCCCAACCCCAGGGGCCAGGGCAGAGCCCCAAAGGGAAAATCAATCGATATTTCAAAAATCTCTTTCTTCAGACTCAGATGGACACTGTACTACAATCAAATTCTATGCATGGATGGAAAGATTGAGGTCGGTTCAACCCCTGAGGCCAGGGGGGCGGGGCCCTGAAGGGGGAACTTAGCTAAATTTGCTTTAAAACGCATCTCCTTCTAAACGTCAGAGAGGATTTCAACCAAATTCAGCCTGAAGCATCACTAGGGGAGGGCAATCATTTTTAAAATAAATGAGGTTGGTTTGACCCCTCAGGCCTGGGCCCAGTTGTTCAAAAGGTGGTTAGCTTAATCACTGTTTAATGAATTTTTTTCAAACTTTAATAATATCGTAAATATTCAAGGTAAAACCTCACAATTTGCATGTAAACTCACCTTACTAAACATTTGATATCTGGAAAGTTGTAGCTAATTCAATGCTTGTGTTTCAAAGTAACTTAATAATCAAAATTTGCGCTAATCACTGATTAAGCTAATCACCTTTTGAACAACTGGGCCCAGGAGGGCACGGGGCCCTGAAGGGGAACTTAGCTAAGTTTGCTTTAAAATGCATCTCCTGCTAAACGCCATAGAGGATTTCAACCAAATGAAGTCTGAAGCATCAGAAGGGAAGGGCATTCATTTCTTGAATAAATGAGTCTGGTTCGACCCCTGAGGCCAGGGGGCGGGGCCCTGAAGGAGAACTTAACTAAATTTGCTTTAAAACACATCACCTCCTAAACGTCAGAGATGATTTCAACCAAATTCAGTCTGAAGCATCACTAGGGGAGGGCAATCATTTCTTAAATAAATGAGTCTGGTTCGACACCTGGGGCTAGGAATACCGGGCCCCAAACAGGAAAATCATCTAATATTTTGCTTAAAGACGCTAATATCCCGGTATTGCCTGAGTGGATTGTACAAAATTTGTTCAAAAACATTATTGAGTAAGAACGAACAATTCTTAATTGAATGAGGTTGATTTGACCCCTGCGGGCCTCAGAAATGGTACAGCCTGATTTTCATTTTCTATGGTGTAGTTTTCATAAATTGGTAAAAATTGGTTTCTAGGTTTATAAAAGCTTATAGTTGAATGAAATTTATAGTATTGTCTAATTACACCCTGTAATATGACTTATTACTTATTTCAGAATCTGTTAACATGATTACTCAATGGCGTCCCCTGATTAGTTGAAAGTCAGATATTGTGGTCCCAGTTGGGTTAGAACATAGATCTTGTCTGGTATTGAGGAAATTTCATATAAAGATGTACTAATGCATTTAGTTGAAATGACTTAAATATAAAACCAGGTTAGCGATACAGGTCCAATGGACCTCTTGTTTAGGAGGTAAGATGCATACTGCAAGGTGCTTCACTTTCAGCCTCTATTATTTCAAATGTTTGTTCAGAACTTCAGCAAAAGTTGCAATGCTATTCCATTTTTTAAATGCTTTTAAAATGTGGGTTACATAAAATATTTTATCAAATATAATACATATAGGTGCAACTACCATATCAATCTAGTTAAAATCTGAGCAACATATTTCCTGTTTTCACCTAAACAAAATATGATATTTTGCCGAATCTTCAACTTCACCCCTTCATATAAAACTGGTAGTTTAATTATTTAGAAACAAACTATTACTGGCAGAATCACCACGCCAGAGGGTATTCAATGCTCCGCTGCACATTATTGTTAGTTTTATCAGTTAAAAGGTTGTCTATTTGTTGGAGTGTGTGTGTAGCTGTGACGGGAAGGAAATGTCTATAAAACTCACGTAAGTATCTAGTTCTTTACCCCTTTGTTACACGTTATACTAGTTTGTACAATGTAGTTTACATTTTATTCAGAAATCTTTTTTTAAACATCTAATGGTTTTCCAGGGTGGAAAAGTATTGCAATCTCTATTCCTGAAGTTCTAAACAACATTTGAAATAATGAAAGCAATATAAGAAGGCTCAAAGTTTAGCACCTTGCAGCATGCTTCTTACCTCACTAAATAATACACACACTGGAGTACCTTTGATTTTGTAGCTTCTGTACCACTTCTAGAATCTTGTTAACATGTAAGTATATTCAAGATAATATTTTCATCACAAATGAAAGAGATACTATTGAATTGGTTACATGTAATATTACAGGGAAATATTGGTTGAATTCACCAACAAGAAATAGGAAAAAAAAGTGTAATACAGTTATTTTTGGCGGTCGTATGAGATGTTATACAACTGCTAATAACGTTCACCCTCTAACCCTCCCCGTCTATTTTTCGACCTATACATCCCTGATCATTTGTTGTAACGTAAGCAGTGAATATGATTGATAATAACCTTCAAACCTTACTTATAAATATGTCCATCCGTGATTCTTCGTTTTACTTTCACCATACTGCTCAATCATTACACTATAATAATTATACCACTTTAAAATATTTCAGAAATTATGGACATCCACAATAGATGGAAGCTTTATCTATTGATTCTGAATCTGACAGTTCTGCTTTATATCATATTTGTTCAACTCCACATGCAGTTCTACTTTAGAGCGATCGGTCCTCTTTGGTACCCAAAACCAAAAACACGCGATATCGAAAACCAACACCGCTCTCTACGTAATGTGTCCTTTTCTAAGAAAAGTAAAGGAGAAGAAAATGACACCTTAAATAAAACATTGCTCTTTGTATCACCACAACACTGGTTTAATGACTGGATCGGAAATAAGTGGGATACATCGCATGCGTTTAGCAATTGTCCAGTATCGAACTGTGTTTTAACAAAGCAACGTCAGTACATGGATAAGGCCGACGCAGTTTTATTTAGAATACGCACTGACAAGGGATGTTTAAACGGCTGTCTGAAGAAAAAGAAACGTGGGCAGGTGTGGATCATATTCGAACACGAACCACCCACAAGGTTTGGCCGTTATCGTGATTTGAATAAAAGTTGCCATCGTAATTTGTTTAATTGGACGATCACGTATCGCCGTGACTCGGATTTCACGTTTGTGCACGGCCGATTCTCAAAGGTCTCCTCCCCCTACAATGAAAGTGCAATAGATATGATACTTAAAGCCAAGACAAAGACAGCCGTAGGCTTCATCAGTCATTGTCCCATTCAATCTCGCAGGAATGATTATATAACCAAACTCCGTAAATACGGTATTGACGTTGACATTTACGGAAAGTGTGGAACTCTTCGTTGTGATTCAGGACTTAACCATGAAAATAAACTCAAGATGGCATGGAACTTGACGCCGGTTGCGGGATTGAAAAGAGACTGCTTTGATATACTTGACAGTACGTACAAGTTCTTTTTGTCTTTTGAAAATAGTTTGTGTGATGACTACGTCACAGAAAAGTCACTGCATCGTGTATTACGTCACAACATTGTTCCAATTATTAGGGATGCGTCCAATCGTACCTTGTTTAGTCCCCCGAAATCTTACCTGGATACTAAGGACTTTCATGACGTCAAGTCGCTAGCAACACGCATTAAATCCATGAGCAATAATTTTGATGAGTACAAGAAATATTTTCTCTGGAAAAAATACTTCTCCCCTGAAACAACTGATGGAGTGTTGCAGTCAATCTTGTGTAATATTTGTAAACGTTTACACAACCAACACAAATATAAGAGAATCTACAGAAACGTGGTGGA